TATCTATTTTTTCGCCAGTTTTGGTTTTCTCACCAGTTTCGTTTTTCTCACCAGTATCTATTTTTTCGCCAGTTTCGGTTTTCTCACCAGTTTCGTTTTTCTCACCAGTATCTATTTTTTCGCCAGTTTCGGTTTTCTCACCAGTTTTGGTTTTCTCAGTATCAGTTGATGTTGATGGTGTTATTTCAGTTGCCTTCTCGTCTGTCATTTTTGAGCTGAATGATGGGTTGGTGTTGTTTTGGTTATTGTGCCTTCATGCAGTATGAAACATACCTTGATGAAGGTAAATAAATCAGAAATCAAGTGATGGACATGAATAGCATAACCACGCTATTTTCATCATGAACGAATAAATAGACGCGTAAATACGGCAAGAAGAGAGAAAAGATTCAATGTCAGCGATACGTAGCAAACAAAAACCATTCCCTAAATGTTATGGTACATTTCGTTTATGATGGATAGATAAAATTGACAATTATGATATGTATGCAATAAAATTATATACACGGGCCCCAACGTAGAAAGCCGTTAACTATTAACTATTTTTTACTTTTGTCGTGCTCTCGTGCGAATTCAAGGACACATTGAAAAGAAGGGGTGTCCAAGGACTAAGAATTAGGAATTCCTCATTAGTTACCCTACAGTTCCTTGCATACTGAAGGTAAAAATATGGAATATTCACGATAATTTTTCTTCTTACACTCATTTTCACTTGAAAAATTGTGAGAATGAATGATTTCATGGAAAAATTATTTTTAAAACAGCAGTATCCCAACTTTCGTGAATGGTGGAACTGTGAGGGAACCTATAGTTGATTCCCATTTCCTCTAGAAATTATCACAGCGACACTGACAATTTCTCGAAACATTAGGAATTCCTATTTCTGAGTCCTTGGACACTGCTGCAAATTTGTGTTGATATTTATAGATTCATGTTTTTTCTGTGATAAATAAATTAAACTAGCATTTACCGATGTATGGTTATCTACTTGTTTTCTCACACAAGGAAAACATTACTTTCGTCCATGTTGAATAAAAAAATTCATGGTGGAAAACCTTGAAAGAATTACAAGATTCTAAACGACGTATCCTTTTTGTTGTTGAGCACACAATGATAGTATGTTATCAATGCCATTCACGTTAGTTGTATATCTTTTGATATATATTTAACAAAAATCTGAGCTGAGCCAGATTGTTTAATGAAAATAATTCTTTAAAATGAAATAGCACTACTAATTATGATTTCATTTTGTTTACATGATTCAAATACTGTAGACCATATTAACGAAATATCTGTCAAGAATATGATAAGTAATGGTATTACACCTGATTCTTTGCTTTCATATCGTAAAATCGTATTGCTTACATGCAAAAAAAACATGTCTCTATACTCATCGAGTAGCGAGAGTCGAAGAAGAAGAAAAGCGTGACAGAGAATGAGAGAAAGAAGTAGGGTTGGCGATACATAATTACAGTAGAGAGAGCAATAGAGGATATGGTAAGAAGAGACGGCAAAAGAAGGTTAAATATCATGTACGAACAGTCAATTCGACTAACCAATCCGAGTATACAATATTACTCAATATACTCAACGCTGAACATCACAATAATGACTATCTTGATAACACCAAAGTACTAAAATAAGCATTAGCTATGTCGTGCATTGTTGAGCTATAACAAATATGTATCACTGATCAATAGAAACTGTGGTAATGGGTATTATGTTACAATACCAACATTATTATGATGCCAGGATTGGTTAAATGAAGAAGTCGGAACAAGAATTATGGTACAGATAGATTATCTGATTTCATGCAGTCATGAAAGATAATTTCAACTAAACTGAGGGTTATATCCTTAGCATCACCGAAGGATTGTTAATTGCAGTAAAATGAATCATTTTGATGTAATGTGCTTCAAAACCACGTCAAGAATAGCTATGAAACAGGTGGACGAAAATAACTGGTTTTTATTTCTTAAGATTTTTAGATGATAAATGCAGTTAGATTTTTCTGAATGGGATCGAATACAATCCGATACTATCGAAGTATTAAATTGGTAAACATATATGTAATATTCTTTTTGATCGATTGAAGTTGTTTTCATCCAAAAAAAGGTAAAATATATGTTATGTGGCAGAAAGAAAAAGAAAATGAAGTTATTGCGTGACCAGTTTTGAAAAATCTTCCGTACTGCTGTGATCCTCAGCTGCAATAGCATATACAAAAATGTTGTAATTTATTTGGCATAGAATGTTTTAATCGGTGTTCTAATATGATGAAATCTAAAATAAACACCTAAAATTAGTAAGATTTTCTATTCGACCGTTCAAATGAATAGAGAATAAGGATTCAACATTAATTTAACGAGTCAGTTAATGCTTAACTAGAAGCAGACTGGATGGAGATTGTATCACTAGGTAAGAGTTGTTGGAAATATTCCATTTAATACTCGAGCACTTCCTGTCGAAATCCTACGTTGAAACATTCGGCAGCTTCTGATCCTTTCCTTTTGAAAGCTCCGAGAATTACAGGCATTATTCATAATATTCCAAAAGACCTACATACTGTCCGATATATTCGTAAGGTGCAATTAATTCAAAAATCGCACAAAATAGCTTTTTGATACATTTTTACACGGTTCGATAGAGCTTAGCGAGTTGTATAAGTGTATGTATATTAAAAAATGTCAGGTTGATATATTGAAAGAAANCTTGGAGGGGTGTAAGGGTTGAATTTTCACGAAAAATATTTTTTGATAAAATATAATTATTTAAATACAGTTTTTTATGCTGGTTCCGAATATCACGATCAATTTCTTTGGAAATGAATTATTTGTAGTGACAATTTCAAAACACAGTTTGAATATTTTTACGATTTCATCGTTAGTGAGGAGAAATAAGTTTTCTCGACAACGATCATCTATATGATTAAAAGGATACATATTTCTTTTCTTTATATTAAGACAAGTTAAATGACATAAAATAATCGCAGAAATAATGAAGCTACTGGGAGTTCATAGATTTGAAGAATGGCTCAACCGCAATACGCTAGGGGCCTTAGTTGGAGTCAATTAACCTTTAGAGATACATTATATGAACAGCGTCGAAACTGCACCATTATATGCAGCTTTTCGCGCTGAATCTAACGAACACTTTTTTCAATGTTTTACACTAAAAATATAAATAAAAAGCGCCAGCATTATTGAAAAATTGAGTATTTGCCAGCAAAAAAAGATAAAATTTAATTTTCTGAAATTTTTCTTTCAATATATCAACCTGACATTTTTTAATATACATACACTTATACAACTCGCTAAGCTCTATCGAACCGTGTAAAAATGTATCAAAAAGCTATTTTGTGCGATTTTTGAATTAATTGCCCCTCACACCTAATTATATTCAAACAATTTCTTGCTGTACCCGTCTAGTGAGTTTTTATAGTCATTATTTAATATTTTTACTCTGTTTATTTGCCGAATAATTAGAAAGCAACAAAATGATGGTTGTTAGTAAACACTTTTGTAACATTTTTTTTTGTCGTAAAAAACCTTTTTCGCTAATATATACATTGAATCGAAATTGAAATTAGCAGTGGAAAATTTCCTAGAGTACATTGTTATGGTTTCTTTTTTCCACTGGTTATTTCTGTTTCGGCTTTATTCGATGGTGGATAAACGAAATTGTATTGAAAATAAACTTTCCGTTCTGGTTTTGGTGGCAAATATTTTTTTAATTTCGCAAGAAAACTAAACAAAGTATTGATGGATATTGTAGGTTGCTCTTTCGAATTATTAAATAAGCCGTACATAATATCGGGCATTCTTGCGCATGACTGATAAAATTCAATTAATGTTTCACCATCCATTGCTTCACATATAGGTATTAATTGATCAAGTTTCTTATCGGTTAAAAATTCCAAAACATGTTGATTACTCCACATGGATGCTTCAGGGAAATTTAAATATTCTTTTGTTGAAACAATAGGTTTCTCTGGTTCTTCGGGTTGTGTGGGTTCTTTAGGTTTTGTAGGTTCTATAGGTTTTGTTGGTTCTTCAGGCTTAGATCCTGTTGCACCATTCGTTTGATCAGTTTTGTTTTCAGAATTTCCAAGTGTTTCAATCAATCCATTTCGTTTCAGTTCTTCTATCAATAAATTATATGCTTTATCGAATTCTTCATCCTCTTTATCAGCAAAATCAACATAAATTTTTGAACCAGCCATAAAGCCTAACCATCCATCGGCTTTATAATTTGGTTCGACAATAAGTGGAATTATTTTACTATGTCGACTGAATGCATATTCAGCTTCGGCTTTACAATTAATACTTTTCTTATAGTTACTTGACATACAAAGGAGTACAAATTTTGAATTTTCAACAGCTTCTGCCATACTTTCAATGATTGATCCTCGCATTTCATCTCGATCTAACCAAACTTTATAGCCATCCTTTTCAAGACGATCATTAATTCTATGACATAGTGGCTGTTGTGCCCAACAGTAAGAAATCATCATATCGTATTGTGGTGGTGCTATTTCAGCACATTGTGGGGATGCAGCTAGTTGAATCGTAGCTGCTTTACATTCGTTTTTCTCATTTTTGTCTTCTTCCCTTTTTCTGGCCTTTTCTTCTTCTTTTTGTTTAAATTTCTCTTCACCTTCTATTTTCCACATAATGCCATGTGCCATTTTTGAAACACCTCGTATTTCAGAGTCGCGTAATACCTTAACATGATCAACAAACTCTTTATCCTCACGAATAACTTTGTTTCCGTCTTTATTGAATGCCATGGAATATACAACTTCCAATGGTAACGGATCATCTATACTTTCTTTTGCAAATTTAATTATCGATGGTAATGCATCTTGTTTCATAACTTCTTCTTTAACGTCATCGTTTTGTATTAAATCTAAGAAAGCGAAATATATACATTCAAGATATTAATTGCAGCAAATAAATAAAACAAAATACCTCTGAATCCTTTTAATACTTCGTCAGCGTTCTTTGGTTTTCCATCGTGAACTGCAGCATTAAAATTTTTAAGAAAAAGCCCAGTTACCCTTTCTGTACTGTTTTCTTTACGAAACTCATCTTCTGGTACCAATAATGATATTAATTCTACTGCTTTTAACTGTATTTGTTCATTGCTTTCACCTTTTGATAAACTACTTAATATTTTAATTAAATCCGATTTTTCCTCAGTTTCTTTTTTCAATTGATTGGATAAAACTCTGTCCGATCTAACTATTGCAATCAGTAAACAAAGTGATGTATAAATTAGCTTGACATGTGCTGCATCGGTATTTGAATGATTTTCTTGTATATGTAAGAGTAAAGCTAGAATAATTTTATACATAAGCCTTCTTTGTTCAAATGATAACGAACGTATAGCTGGTAAAATGAATTCCATCGGATAAAATAGGCAAGACATAACTGGTGATGTCCATTTTCCAATGTGTGGTAGAAATTCAGAAAGAATTTCATTATATTGATGTAACAATTTATTAGGTATTTCGGACGAATAACTTTTCTCTGTATCACAAGTTACAATATAATTTGGACATGTAATAAGAAGAAATTCGTGAGTAGTGTTTAATGATGTTACCATTGGGCTAATTAGACTACTTAAAACATCGATATAATACTGACTTGTTACACATTTAACAAGTGTATGAAGCAGTTGTTTACATTGAGCATTTTCAAATGCTTGAATAAGCCACATAAATGATTTTAAACTTGGATCTTCTGTACCTATAATACCAATATAATAGCCGTAAGACCCAATTTCGTTTAAACACTTGTCTGTAAGATCAATTAATTCCGTTTGTCGACTAATCCATTCTTTAGCACTAGGATCTGTTTTAGTTGATGCAAGAAGATATTCTGTACTATTCCGAAATATTTCTTGTTCTTCGTCTTTTAATGTACCATCGGAATACCAATGCTCTAATACTTCACAGAGTCCTTGCGGAAGATGCTTTTGAAAAAATGAATTCTCTTGAAATTTTCCATGATTAGCTATAGATGATGAATCTTGTTCATCAACGTTCTTGGCATTATTTCCAAGCTGACTTAATTGTGTTTCAATCTTGATCGCTGTCATATGTATGGACTCGAATAATAAATTAGTATCTGTTTCTGTTTGGTTTCATGCATCATCGAACGCACCTTGATAAAAAAAAATAATTTCACTACATTGACAGACCTTCAACCCATTAGCAGCTTTAGATTGGTTTCTCCTTCGAAAAGCAAGCAAGTGTCTCGATATAAACGAAAATATGTATTTTAAAAAATAATAGCACAAAACGACTTAATTAATTTGGCTCGATGAACACACGACACTCGCTTTAGACAGTTTATGATTCATTTCGAGCATAACGAATAGACAAAATCGGTAATTACAAAATATATATTTTAAGAGGCATTTTTTGAATAAATCATTAACAATCATTCGAGTTACGCATCATTTGTTGTTTTTGTTTTTGTTATTCTCTAGTTTTTACTCAAGGATATCTCATAGAAAGAAGAAAAAAACAGATGTAGATTATACACATCTCTAGAACACTTCAAAGTCTTGTTAGATAGATATATCAGCACTATACAATTGTTTTAGTAAATGTATTACATTAAACTACGAATATATACTAAATATTACCAATTTGTTACTAGCAGCGTAAGATCAATATGCTTCACATATTGAGCATAAAACTTTAAGTTCGAAACCATTTGAAAATATTACTTCTTTTTTCGCTCATGTGAAAAATTCATTTTAATTTCCCATTTGTATGCAATGCGTTGAAGTCAAATAAAGACCTTTGATTTCACTTGCTTTACAATTGATGCTCAAAAAAATAAACCAGAAATTGCCATATAATTTGTTTTTCTTTCACTTTGACACCTGACAAAATATCATTGAAAAATATACATCATTACTGCATCTCCTCACTATACTCATGAAATAAATCTGACATGAAAAAGTATGTCTATATTATTGATGATGTAGTTATCAGTCTTTGATGAACATCCAGTAAAATGAAAAACACGCTTAAAAATATTATTTACTTTTTCCTCTAATTTACATGAAAAAAACAACACTTACTTTTGAGAATGATCTAATAATGACTAAAATATGAAGATTAATACATTAATTAGTGAATATTTTGCTACAGACACTGAAATCATATTATATTAAAGAAAACCTACGGTACGGATAGTTATTATTGCTCTTGATTATGATCACAAAAATGCGTGATATGTAACCTTGTAAATTATTTACCACGTAATTCTTATTCATAACACAACAAAATAAAAATCAGGAACAAAATACTAGCCGAAACCGTAGCGAAAATTATTTTGCACATTTTCAAACACTGATATCGTATCGATTACATCTGAACTCGTGAATATTATTTTTTAAACTCTGAGAAAAAAATGTCACGCATTCATCAAAAACAATCTTCATTGATAATTTCAAAGCATTTAAATTGTCTATATTCCTAACCGAATGTTTGACTTATGTTGCGGGTTCATTTTTTTTTCATATTTATAAATCGATTTTCTGAAGAAAAAAACAACATTTTCAAATGAATTAATACGAATTTAACAAAAAAACAAAAACAATTCGCGTAAAAAATTCAAAAGAAACCAGTCACCCATTTGACTTTTAAATTTTGATACGAAACGTAGCCCATCGTTGATTTGAATAGTGTGCGAGCTACATTTTATGAATAGACAATGATTGATGGTAACTGTCATTCCTTCAGATATTTGTTTATTCGCATAATTACAGACTTACAGTGTGGCATATAAGATTAGATATTGCTATCGAACACTTTACTGACGAGGAAACATTCGCAAGTGATTCGCACCATTTCGATTCATCTTTTGCTGGTTTCTAAGACCGATCATATATATGAAATACCTGAAAGGGTTCGTGCCATTGCGAGTCGGTTTCAAAGTTATGAGCGGAAATGTGTTACAATAGATGGTGACAGCTTCTATGTGCTATATTTTCCTTCTATCATATCTCAACTAAGGGATGATTTTTCCCATAGATATTTATAATACGAACATTCCTCAACTTGCTCGAACGAAAAAAGTATCGAGAAGTATGCTTGAGCTACCTGGTCGAAAGAACGAAACATTAATGAATAGATAGTAGCACCATCTATCAAAGTAGTTTTTTCACTCATAACTTTGAAACCGAGCAGCAATGGCACTGGGACGAACCCTTTCACATATGTCATATATATGATGAGCCCTACAAACCAGCAAAAGATGAATCGAAATGGTGCGAATCACTTGGGAACGTTCCCTCGTGAGTGAAAAAAATCAAATAACGAATATAACTACTAATCATTTATCCATATCTTAGTTAGACATGCACCGAACCCGAACTACCCGGGTTCGGTCATAACCAGATTGGATAACGGGATTCCTGTGTCTACTTATTCGTATCCTTCACAGTATAGAGATGAATAATAAATAGTACCTATATATATAGATAATAAAAATGATCTTATTTCAAAGGTTTATAGTCTCTTCCTCAATCTATCATAGATAATCCTATTTATCAGGAAAGCATACAATTAAATGAGCTGTTATTAATATTTCTCTTGAACTCAGCTACAGAAAATTGTCGAATGGATCTCCTTATTGAAATGATCCTTCTGATAGTCTAAGTAGGGATGTGAGAATTCGAATACTACCAATATTCATCCCATTTAGTATTGGTGATATTGATATTAGCATTATTAGTATTGATATTGTTATTAGGTCGACGGAAAAAAATCATACATCTGTATTTCCGGAAAATTTAATAAGGAGAACCATTCGACGATTTATTGTAGTTGAGTCCAAGATAAATATTAAGAGAAGTTCATTTAACTGTATCCGTTCCTGATAAATGAGATTAACTATGATAGACTGAGCAAGGCAAAGGATCTTTGACATGAACTCATCTTTTACCACCTACTATATATCCATAGGTGCTATTTATTATTCATTTTTTTAGGAGTAAAGTAAAAATCACGTAATCTTTATTAGTAAGCTAGTATTATCATCTAGTTTCAAACAGTTTTAAACTGAAAAGTTTTTAAACATTTACACCAGGCGAATGTTTTTGTAAGAATTTAAACAAAAAACAAGACTCGAATTGATAGGAATAAATACTCGATTTCGAGACAGTGGTCACTCAAATTTTTGTTGATATTCATTTCTGTGATAAATCAATTGAACTAACATTTTTCCGTACATGGTTATTCAGTGTGAGACGACTCAGTTACGCTGTACTCATCAACCTTTTCTATGCCATTGAGTTTGAAAACGCTTTGCTATCTAATCCTGATTTATTTTATCATGTAAAAATAATATTACTCGTTCAAACCGATTAAATAACTCCAAAGCGGAAAGATAATCCATAATGAGTTTTTTTAACTTGAAAATTAGAAGACGCTTGTTGTAGCAAACTTAAGAGGGGGTGTCCAAGGATTGAGAATTAGGAGTTCTTCCTCAGTTTCCCAACAATTCCTTGGATGCTAAAGATAAAATGATGAAATATTTACAATCATTTTTGTTGTTTCACGCATTTTCACCTGTAAAATTGCCAGAATCAAATAGTTTCATGCACAAATTATTTTAAAAAAAGCAATATCGTCACTTTCGTGAATGGTAGAACTGTAAGGAAACCAACGATTGAGTCCCATCTCCTCTAGAGATTATCACAGCAGCACTGACCATTCATTGGCAGATTAGGAATTTCTATTTTTTCAGTCCTTGGACACGGCTGTTGCAAAAAGATAAAAATCAATCGTTGTGTAGACTTCGAAAATTTCTTATTATCAATGCTTATTTGATTATTTTTTCAATAGCTAATAGCGTAAAAGTTTTAAGTAAAAACAAAAAACACATTACGATAAAAATCATTTTCTATGTAGAACAAATACACAGTATAGAATAAGTCCTACTTTCGTGACACTTAAAAAGGAAAAAAAATAAAAGAAACCTGTTGAACATAAATATTTGCTGTCGAAATAGAGGGCAACATAAAAAGATAAAAATAAAATTGATAAGATGAGCACACGCATAAACACATGAATTTATTTTGATTATTATTCAAATGATTAAGCTGTACAAAATGATGGAGATAAGGCGGATGCTATCCAGCAAAAAATAAACATAAAAAAGAAGAGATTCCTATATATTGATAGTGTCAAGATATGTTCATTGTCAAAGACCAAAACAAGAATGATGTAAACAACAACAACAAGATGGACCTATAATAACGATTTTAGCAGCTACATTTACTTTTCTTTGCATCTGGTGGATTTTCCGGTGGTTGTCGTACAGGAAAAATTGATTTATCTATATAGAGAAGAAGAAAAAAGTTGAATTAAATACTTATTCAATATTAGATTATATTTAAATATCTTCTAGGATATTAAATATGCTTCTGATAAAGATAATTATTCAATCAAGATATTCTATTGCTTAAAATTTCAAGCTGTGGCATGCATAAAATCGCAATGAAATATTCTATATTCAATAAAGAAAGAAGCAACTACTTACATGCTCATATATATATATATACTTTTATAGAGAAAGAGAGATATAAAAGTATTTCCGCAAGAAGAATTTTATCAACCCTATACTTACGCGATTTCGATTTTAACGATGTAAAGTGAGTCTGAGCTAGAAAATGGATTGAACTTTCTATTTTTTTTTAAAGAAAACAATCGCGAAACAATAATATTTCTATAAGAAGATTTTTTTTTTAAATTTTCTTCTTGATAAATAAAACGATGGAAAGTGTTTATGAAATGTAATTAAGCTAATTAAAAATTATTATCATTTTATATCATTAAACTCTTTGATTCGCATACCTATAGTTTCTTCCATTCTTGTCATAACTTTTTCTAATAATGATTCAATAGTTTCTTTAACATTTTGTGCTGTAAAAGCACTTGTTTCAATATAGGGTAATGAATATTTATCGGCTAATTCTTGTGCACGCGTTTGAGATACAACACGAGCATCTTCACGGTCAGCTTTATTACCAACTAGTATCACATCAGGATCGTCACAATAAGCATTAACTTTCAGTTGGGCAAGCCAATTGCGTACATTTAAAAATGATTGTTCAGATGTTAAATCAAACATTAATACAAAGCCCATCGCATCACGAAAAAATGCTGTTGTTAAACTTCGAAAACTAAAAACGATGCATTGAAAATATTTTATAACAAAAAAAAAGGAATGAAATTCTTTTATAGTACCGTTCTTGTCCTGCCTATAAAAATCATAGAAATAATTAGAAACAAAAAGAACTTTTTTATTATCTATCTACCGTATCCCATAATTGCAAATGAATACGATATGGTTTTGCATTTGGTGGGGTTTTCGGCTTATAAACAACGCGCTTCTCACGAAAATCAATGCCAACTGTTGAAATAAATTTTGGGTTAAATTGTCCGTCAGTATATTGATAAAGAAATGTTGTTTTTCCTATATGTGTATACATGAGAAAAAGTAAATAATAACCCGTAGAAAATCCAATGGTTGTCACATACCAACGCCTGAATCACCTAAGGCAAGAAATTTGATCAAATAGTCATATTCAATGGCTGGATTAATCATGGAATCTCCCATCACTCTTTTCTACTAGATTCAAAAATATCAGCAACGCTTGTCGAATGATGGAAGACGTCGTACTTTTAGTAGCACACTTTCTAGAATATATATTTAATAATGAAAAATAAACCCAAAAGAAAGAAAACAAAAATCATGTGAGCTTCGTTCTAATCTGCTGCTTTGACTCCTTGCATAGCGTTTAACAAAGTGATTGTTCGTTTGTGATTGACATCATAGAAGAAGAAGAAACGTAGAAGAAAAAAATCGACTCCCCTTGTGACAACCGTTTTAGCCGCCTACTAGTAACAATTTTTTTATAAACGAATACGATCGATAGTAGAAAGATATGAGTTATTTAGTATTTTTTCTTTCTGTTTTCTCTCTCAGTTTGTCATCGTATGTATACGCAGAAATATAGAGAGAAAGAAGTAGGACCATAATAAAAGAGAAAAAAAAGAGAAAGAACAAAAACCAAAAATAAATAAAAATAAGAGCGATGACATTGGCAATATATAAGAGCCAAGGATTCATACGGGAAAAACGAATGGGACAGTTTGTTTGCTTTAAAAACATCATTGTTATTGATGGTAAAATATTTTTTTTGTTTTTATTTTCATTATTAAATGAGTAGCTAACCTTTTTTCGAGGCGATTATTTATAAAACTGAATACCTTTATAGAGGAAAATTTTGCCATATAGCAACATCCGATTCTCAAGAGTTAAGAAACGAAGACGTGTTTACATGTATTGAACATAGGATATCTATTAAATAGCTAGAAAGCAACGAACTAATTACCATCATTATTAATTTGTGTTAAGATTGAACAAGAAAACAAACCATCATTGAAAAGAAAAGTCAAAAAATTCCAATTAATAAGCGATGGAAATTTACAATGAAGTAGAATAAGAAAAAGAAAAAAGCTGTTCTTGGTATGAGAATACGGCACAACTACAAGATGATTAAATATCCATTGGTACACTTTTGAAGATAGGCCCATCATTATTATTATTATTACCATTCAATGGATTTGAATTAATACGGCTCAGTTCTATAGACAATAAGATACTATTTCATTTAAAACAAAGAAGAATCCCAAACAGCTGATTAACCTACTTTCGAATGATGCTACAAAAAATTTCATCAAATCAGACATGGAAACAATACCAATAATATGTTGACTATTGTCCACTATAATCAGACGATGAACCTACATAAATATCGCATGCGATTAGTATTAGTATGACAATAAAAAGATAAATGTACGAGTCAGAAACGAAAGAAAAAAAGCGAAATAGTCAAAAATTCTTTTATGCTGTCATTCACATGACAAAAAATATATAGGAACTAAGTACCGGAAGTAATGAATGAAATATGTTTTTTTTCTTCTTTTTCTCTCTTTCTTATTAAAGGGAAATAGCTAACATGCACTGTTAATCATTATTTTACCTCCCGAGAGACAAATTTATCCATAAGTTCAAACAGCTGATCTGTCATTTTACAAGTGGCTAGTTGGTATGTGGTATGATCATGAATCGAATCAAGTATATCACACAATGGAACATCAAGATTCGCATAAGTACGTGTGGCGGCTAAATGCTAATATGCAATTCAAAACAAAAAAATGAATATTAACAACAAGAAATGAAGTTTTCTTGTTCTATTTTTTACCATGATATCAAATTTAGAATAGACACCACATAATCGTTTTTCTCCATCCACAACTGGTAATGCTGAAATGCGGATTGCTTGAAATATGCGAAGAACTTCAATTAATTTTGTTTGTAGATCAATCTTTATTAACGAATAATAAGAAAAATTATTCTCATTGATCAAAACAGAACATCTTTCCTTTCCTATCGATTCATTTTTCTTTTTGCCGATAACGTCGACCTGCCATACTTCAATCGTAGTATTCTTACATTTACGTTTTTTTCTCTAAATCCTTCTTGATCAGCTAGAACTTCTCAAAATACGCTGATAGAATCGAAGTAAATATTACTGAAGGAATAATAAAAAATGCTTTTCTACATGGACATTCCATTTAGTTTAGCTATAATCATGAAAGATTAAATTCATGATGTAAAATATTCTTAGTTAACTACCGATTTTTCTTACTAAAAGTTCCAGCTCTTCTTTTTATATATAAAAAAATCTGATCTTTCTATGCTACTGAATGGCAACTTCTAGGGTCTAGTCACTAAATGGATTGGTAACATTTTGAGAATTCTAGCGAAAGATTATCAGCCTAATAGAAGTTTTCGATAATAGTCTATAAGGAAATTATACAAAAACAAATCCGAATAAGTCGTTCACTATGATCCGAACTCAATACTTTTAATATTTAATATGAAATAGATTCTAATGTTTTTGTAATATATTAGGAAATATATATTAGAATTCATAGCATTCTTCTAATCATAGACACAGTAGTTGAAATCTTTCTTCATATCAACAAAAATATAAATAATTTCATGAATTGATTTTTAAATTACTGTCTTTTTGTGATCGTTTAGAAATTCTCTCTTTATATTTTTCATTGTAGATATATAGAAAAACAATTATTTGTTTTCGACTGTCGGTATTAGTTTCAATATTTTTGTACAAATAACAAGAAACGTAAGTCATTCAATCAAATATCAGTCTCTTAAATAAAAATTCGTATTATTCGAGGCGTCCCTTTTTCCACAAGAATCGATCGTAATTGACGAATCCAGCAACTTTGAATATTGATCAAAAAGATTTTATTCATCATGGTAACTAATATCAGGAATTCACGTAGGAATGTAAAAAAGAGAAAATGGTTTTCAACAGGGATTCGGAAGAAATAAAAATGTTCACTTTATTCCCAAAACTATTTTTGTTAGCAATTCGCATTCTAAAATAAAGCTTCATTTGATTGCATAGCAACAACCAAATCTCTACAAAGAGACACGTCGTCCGAGGTGTGCAAGATAGGTGTTCACGAAATTGCACAAATTTTCAGAGAACATCAAAAACATTTTTTCCTTCCTTGTGCCTTAAACAAAAATCTATTTTTAGCTATTGCACAGTCTTCCTATACTTTCACAAAACTTCTATCGTAAGAGTCTATGTTTTATTAAAATAGTTTGGAAGTTTTTCTAATCCCTCTGAAATCTGATAACACAGCAAAGAGTTTATTTGTCTTCATATTTTTCTTCTTCTTCATCATTTAACATTTGAAGTATAACTTACCATTACTAGCTTATTAAAAGTACCAATTTTCAGTTCTGATAAACTTTGGTGAATATAATGCGGTTGCGGTAGATCATAAATCTGATCAAATAATGAAAAAAAGCATCGGCAGAACAATCTTTTAAGAATTTCTTCAATAAATAACATACGTATAAGTATAAAAATTTCAATATGCGTTTATGAGTAATTAAATATAGAAAATCATGAGTATCAGGATGAATGACTGGTATACGATGAACTTTACGTTCAATCAGTGTTAATATAGCTTTATATAAACTAAATCACAAAAACAAAGTTTTAATTGAAAAAAGAAAACAATAATATATTTCATTCACCTATCCTCGGGATTCAAATAAAATATAGTTGAGCCTAGCGTTGGATCTGTAACTGCATTTTTTTTGTATAAATTTTGTTTCCATTCAAGGATTGATGCACGTTCCAGAGTAGCAACACTACTCTATAAAATGAAATAATGTTCTATTTAACGACAAGTCGAGAAAAAAGTAACGCATAAGTTCAAACACGCTCACATTAGTCATTCAATACAAAGAAAAACCTGATAAAAAATTCATATGTGCATGATAGTACTGATCTATTGTTCTTTTACTCGTCAGAAAATTATAAACTCGATGTTTTTATCCGTAGAAATAAGAATCGACACGATGCCTGTCAACACATTAAAATTATGAGTTTCATTACAATACGCAATCGTTAGTTGTGCTTAACGTCGACCCCTGAAAAAGAACGCTGCATTAATTATGTAACGTTGATGTATAGCATACAAAAGTGTTCTTTATCTGCATCGAGAACATAATCCTTCAAACATACAATGCGTAGTATCAATGAATAATCATATCGACTTTCGATGGTCGCATGTAAATAATCGTATTTTATTAGAGGAATAATATTTATTCAGCATAAAAGAAAAAGCATCAAATAGTCAAGTTTCTTTTTAAAAGATATATTTCGTTCAGATGAGTTTTATTTTAATATAGACATTTGATTATAGTAGATTGTTCTACCATGTAAAAATTACTGTTATTTTAGATCTAATATATTTTTTTTCTTGAACTACCTTTTGTCGTTTCTGCAATTTCTACCTCGATAAGTGCGTCGCAATAAGTAAGTCCAACTAGTTCAAGAAAAGTAAAAATAAAGATTTCATCGTCACAGCTCTTAGTACTTGAGGACAAAAACAAGCACATGTTTCTTACCCATTTAGCATCGTAGGCAGCAATAAGCATATTAATAAAATCACTTATAGTAATTAAACCAATGTTCGACGATGTTGATGCATGCCAAATCAATGCAGCTCGAACGCTATTATATACGAGTGCAAAAAATGCTTTACGTATCGATAGACGAGCATCAAGTAGAAGAACTTTGCCACTTTTCGGCATGCAATCATAACATGTATGTGTTAGAAAAAATGACTGATAAACTTCTTCCGAGTCTAATCATTAGAATAAAACAAAGGTTGCTCTTTTAACCTACGTCTTTGATCGAATTCAACTTACTGATTCGCTGATAACTATCGCGTCGAACACGTTTGGTACGAAATTCCTACAAAAATAAGTCTAATAGATCTCGTCAAATTACTTTTCGAATAACCTACCGATAAAGCAGCTGGTTCAATAACAACACAGTGGTTCGACATAGTGGAAGAAATTTAAAGTCGCAATTTCGAAATAAGAAAAGCAATAGAAGCGCAATGATAATATAGTCGTCTTATGACGTTAATAACAATAAATATATACAAGAATAGAATGTGAAAAATGCCAATTTAGTCAGTATAATCTATATATTTAAAAGATAATTCTAAGTTTTGTAATTATTGTTTTCAAACTCATTCGTCGCAGTATATCATTTTTGTGTACTCAAAAAGTGAGCACACTCTAGATTCGGTCAGTGTATCCGGCCGTTCGTTAACACGATAACTTTTGAAAGCCTCATCCAATTGTCATGAAATTTTGTACACATAATGATCTCATCAATATCTTAGTCGAGTTCGAAGATGAGAAGGATCCGTCAAGAAATGGCTAAGTTATCGAAAAAATTGTCATTATTGGCCAGACCACCCCGGAGGTGGACGGTGCGGAGCACAAGGATTTTTTCAAGCAAAACTTTTTTCTCAGAATTATTTGCAACATATACAAATCGACTTAGTTTTTAATGGTGATTCCGAATCTGATATTAGTTTTGAACCAAATCGTAGCTTTTTAACAAAACATCGCCTGGAAAAGGTCTCAAAATGCCATACATCGCAGTGCTTGTCAGGATTCCAGCGAAGAAAATATTCGCAAAGGACGCCCCCTCGGGATTTATCAGGACACTGCGATGTATGCAGAATGCACAAAAATTGGATTCAGAAACCAAATTGCCTAGATATGCCTCAGATGACCAGTAATTTTGGAGTTTTCCAAATGCCTGGTTTTATAGCTAGGCGAAAAGACTATCGAAAGGTAAAAACCAGAACTCGATAGCTATTAATATTGGTGATTTATGAGGAAACTACTGATGCCTCTATCTATCATATATCTCTTATAGATTCATGAGGTTGCTTACGATCGTAATCTCGCGAGATACAAACGTAAATCCATTCAACAATAACTCTTCTTACCCAGTTTTCCAAGCTAAACACGAATCTGAACTCAATTTCTGTGATTTCTAAGGATATTATATTACTCTGAGAGTAGAACCAATGGTCACCGGATAGGGTCACATACAGTGTGGTCCATGCTAACTTAGCACGCCTGTATTTTCTCCTCGCAATTTAGTGACAAGGGATGTATCTTGATGAGATCTATGCTTTATAGAATAAATGCGAAAATCTCGAATTTAAATCCGACTGGTGTTATGTGTACCTCAAAAAGTGAAAAGGAATATTCACTTTGTTTTGTATTTTTTTAGATAGTTTAATCAAAGTCAATCTGTCATCAATTAGTTTTAATTTTTGAAGTTCACATAACACTCGGAGTTAAACCCGATGTTTCCACATTTATTTTTCTCTACGCATTAATCTGTTACTTGCGCTTTATTATTATTATTACATAAATATCAAGACTCAAAAATTTACGATGCGAACTACTAGCGATTTTTCGTGCACAATAGATCTTGTAAAAACGCAAAAAAATTATTCTTAATAAGTTTCGTTATTGTATTTTATATGGAATTTTTATGAAGCATATTTCGAGTAGTTCTTTTTGTAATCTTTATATTTCAGAGTCATTAATTTCCTCTTTACATTTTTCTTACCATCTATCAGAAGAGAAGCGTGGTACGCATGAATACAGAAAGAAATAACGAGACGTAGTAGAGCAGAGAATGATGCTAAACCTGGTTCAGCATACTGTAGAGTATAAATATCCAGACGAATGAAGACGAGGATAGCAACCTCTACAGACGTTTGTGTTGCGCTACAATCTTTGAAAATGAATATTATAATTTCTAGCGCTTTTCTGTTAGTGGCCCACTCTTGTACTCAACTCATGAATGAAGAACACGATATCGAAACAAAACATCGAGTAAAGTAGTCAATGTAAGAAATGAAAATGTCGCCTGTGCTGTCATCAACAGATAGTGATTATTCTGGTATTTCAAATATATCTACGCAGATAGAGTCTCTGCAAATGAAGTTGAATCCAATCATAGAAAAGTCAGCATCTTCTAACAAAAATACAAATAAGGAAACAAAATTGGCAAGACCAGGATCTAGTAAGACGAACAATATTGATTTTCGCTCATATTGATTTTCACTTTTTCAGCTACTGCAAGTAGTTCGTCGTCGACACGTAAAGCTCCTGTTGATTTGCTTTTTGCATCGGCACCACCAGCAGTAGATCATACCAGGTAATAAAAACTATTCTACTCGATAAAATAATCAACTTTAATTTTAGTGAACGTACACGAGCTAAATATGAAGAGGTGGTTCAAAATTCTGGTCTATTTCATATTGATGGAGAGGTAAATACAGAGACTTTTATTTTCACACGTGCCATTCTAGAGTCTAAGACATAGAGAGACATCATTCATTCTCAAATATCAATAAAATTCGATTAACATTTGTCAAAATAACAGTATGCCATTAGATAAGCCTACTCAATAAATTAAAGATGTGTTTTCGTTCAATGTTTCCTACCGCAGAGGCTATTTGCAAATACATCCAATCTAGCTTTTAGTAAATAGCTAAATAGTTTTATTCATTTAATAAATTTTTTGCAAATTTCATTATGAAATCTAGTGTATTTTCGTAGCTATTCAAGAAGGTATTACATTTCAACTATAGCAAATAAAGACGTGATTCCTAAGCTAAAATTGAACGAGCCAATGAAAAAACTTGATTTTATCTAATAATGATGCAATATTCTTTTGTCATAAATCAGATAGTTTGTTTTAATAACATCAGTAATTTTCTTTCGTCCGTCTTAATTATAACACCTCGGTAAATGAAGTCTGTTTTTAAATTGTTTTCGACAAAATAAGTATTTATTTAATTATATTTTTCTAGCGAAAATTTATCGAACAGAAAGATTTTGTAAAGCAAAATTTACTTGGTTCTGGCTCATGTGGTACAGTATTTAAAATGGAATATAAACCAAGTCAAACGAAATTAGCTGTTAAAGTAATTTTTTCAAATTTCTTTGAAGTTCTCTATTGAATCTTCAAATTCAAGGTCATGCGTCGCACAACATCGGATGAAGAAAATAAACGAATTATAATGGATCTAGACGTTGTTGTGAAAAGCTATGATTGTTCATATATTGTTCGCTGTTTTGGTTATTTTATACGAGAAGTAATGTTAAATAACTTTAAAAAAAACAGCGATCATGATTTCCGATTATATATAGACAGAAGTTTGGATATGTATGGAGTTAATGGCAACTTGTTTTGATAAACTTCTTAAACATATTCAACAATGTATACCTGAGTGTATTCTTGGCAAATTAACGTTTTCTGTAAGTAATGAAAATAGGTTTAGTCGTTTTTGGAAAACAATTTGTGCTTTTGTTTTTTAATCTAGACTGTTACTGCATTATCTTATTTGAAAGAAAAACATGGAATTATGCATCGAGGTTCGCGTGAAATGAAAATTTATATATTTCGATTTGAATCTTGTTTTTTCATTTTAGATGTTAAACCGTCGAATATTTTGATTGATGAACAGGGCAATATCAAGTTATGCGATTTTGGTATCAGCGGTGTACTTATTGATTCCGTGGCTAAATCAAGAAATGCTGGTTGTGCTGCATATATGTCACCAGAACGTATTAGTCCATCAACTCAAGATAAACCTGATTATGATATACGAGCTGATATTTGGAGTTTAGGAATTTCACTTGTAAGTAAAAATCTAAGATTTATTGAAAGTCTTTCATGTTCGGCAAAATACGATGCAAATTTTTGTCAGAAGATAAATGTATGTGATGAGAGGCTGAACTTTGATCTGTTGCCAATGACGTGTAGCATCGGATGTTGTCTGAAGTTTTAGATAATTATGGTTTTTTCTTTCTGATTGAGAAATATGTTGTTCTGATCACAGAACTTAAAAGGCTCTGAAAAACTTTATTATAGAAAATTACTTTTTCTTGTGCTTGAAACAATACTTAGTAGAACTTGTAATTTCGACTTAACGTTCTGGATTATTGCACAAGTAAACGTTTAATTTGAATTCTTGTTATTTGCCATGCGTCTTTAAGTGAAAAAATATCATATTTAGAAGCCCGAAAAAGATTACTGAATTTTTCATATGTTTTGGCTCTTGCTTATTAAAGACTTCGTTCGAGCTGCAATTTATATCATGAAAATTTCTTAGTCTCGTCTACTCTATTCCAAATTAATTTTTATTTAGATTGAACTTGCTACAAATGCTTATCCATATCAAAATTGTCGAAATGATTTTGATGTTATGTCACGTATCGTTACGGAAGATTCTCCTAAATTGTCTAATGATCTTACATTTTCTGATAATTTTCGATCTTTTGTTAATACATGGTAAGATTTTGTTTTGTTTTAATTGTTTGTTCTCCATCAATCATTTGCTTGATTATTTTTGTAGCTTAGTCAAAGATTATCGACAACGACCAAAGTATGGTCCATTAATGCTTCATTCATTTTTTGTCGAATCAGAGAAACAATCCGTTGATGTTGCTGAATGGTATCTGAAAGTTACCACCGCTAAAAATGAACAAAAACAGTAAACCTAGTGATCTATCTGGCTTAACATTGCGGCTTGTTTTTCATTTGTATTTTATAATATTCTATCCATTTTCCCTCTTTTACTTGTACGGTTGAGCATTATTATTTTGTTGATCTAAGAAAGAATTCCTTCTTGTATTATGCAGAAAAAAGATGCACTGGTTCATATTTTAAATACGTACTAAGTGCGTGGCTCTTTCTTCTCATAAAACTATATGCATGATGGTGATATGATGATTTTTCTGTTGTTCTTGATACGAATGGAGGTAGTGTTATCATTAATTATGTTTAAAAATATTTATTTAATAGAAATTTACTAATAGTTTGTTCCTACAAACAAATAAAACGTTTACTTATGATTTCTTTCAAGTGAATAAAAGAATAAATTTGGTTCAATTTTGACTTTTAAATAAATCACGTGACTCGGAAATAAGTGCAATCACTCACATTCGGAAGCATCATAAATATTCTTGTCGAGCATATGACCGATGATGATTTTTTTTCTTCGAAAATGAATTGAACTTGCCGAACTTTTTAGTTTGAGATAAAATAAAAATCTATCAAAGCACATAAGATAATTAATAAATGCATACATAGTAAGTATTACAGATATATCAGAACAATTCTTTTGCATTTATTAGATAAACTGATTGAACTAGTCGACTAAAATATTTATGCTCATCAAGATTCAATGATCTTTTTAAAAATTCTAGTAAAATTTTCATTCGTATGAAACATCTTATATGAATATAGAAAATTGCATGTGTGACGGCCAACCTGCAATTAACCTACGCAGAAAAGAACTACACTCTTTTGAATTAAATTCTCTTGAATAACACATTTTCTCAAATATCATCTCATGAATAGTTAACATATTTTAAAAGCATTTATTTAAAAAGAAATTGTCTTGTCCAATAGAAATTTAAAATTAATTTAGAGAAATACTCGTCTATCATAGATTGTTTTTTGCTATTTATAAACTCAAACATTTTGCAAAGATTTTTGTCTTATGAACATGTAAATAGCATAATGTTCCACAGAATCGTAGAGTGTCAACTTCCTATAGTATACTTTTCTCTCCTATTGACAATATTATCCTTTCTTTTGGTACGATTATTAATCTTTTTCTTTTTCTTTTACGTAAACAATCAAACATATGATATTTTTCTGTTTTATGAAAAACAGTTTCATGCGTTTTTTTCAATACGAATCTTTTTTTTCAATGCTCCATTAGCGGCATCAGAGCACTCTACTTACACGTCGCTATCGTTTTTAAGTGATTTATTTGTGCGTCTAAGTGTGCTGCTTTTTTGTGTTCGACAAGAAACTATTTTGTTTCAATTTGAAACAAAAAATAATCAAGACAGATTTATGATCAATTCAAGGCTTTGAATTAATGGATCTTTTTCTTTGGTCATAGTTTTCTAAGAATGAATAGATGCTAAATCGGAAATGAATTTTTCTTCGGTGTTTTCTTTTATTTTTGATTGATTTTCATTATTGAATAAATATGTTCGAGGTGTTGTTGTGTTCATTGTTGGGAATAATCGTCGCTGAGAGAACAGTACAAAAAATCGGAATGTTTTTTTTTTGATAATTTACTGTCAGAAAAAGAAAAATAGCTTATTATGGGGTGTTTCGTGTGACGACGAGGATCAACAGTAACAACAATAGCAACATCAGTAGTAGTAGTAGTAGTAGTAGCAGCAGCAGCAGCAGCAGCAGCTATGGTCGTCAGCCATGAGTGAAATCAGTTGACAACGCGAACATATACACGCTTACAGGTAACACGACAACAATAAAAAAGCAAAGAAGAATGAAGGTAGAGAGGGAGAGAGAGAGAGAAATAAAATTTCTTTGCATATTGACTAGGGTTTCTTTTTGCCATTCAATCATTCCTATATTTTACTTTGTTGTATGGTGTGCTTTGTGAATCGAATGGAATCGATATAATGTATACGCAAGTATTTCAGTAATATTAAATAGATCAATACGATATCTAAGTGTTCTCATGAATAATTAAATTAGAACTAATATAATTAATTGTAGATAAAAAAAAAAATATTTTATTGATTTAAAATTAGAGTAAGAAGAAGAGAAGAATAACTAACCGTATTTTTATATTGAATTCATTCATTTGATAGTTTAAACATGGATTACATGGGTCAAACATCAACGGCTCAATACACTCTTATGGGTCGTCGACCACAACAGAGTACTCAGTTGCCATCTATTGGTACATTTGATACTCGTACATCATCTGCTCCACCCTATTCGGGCTTGCTCACTCGATCGCTTTCGCTTTCATGGCGACCATCAACACTTTATCGAGCAGCACGTGTTGAACCAACACAATCATTAAATATGTCAACGGCATATCCATATAGTTCTTCTAATTATCTAAATAATATTGATAGTGCTAAAGTACCACCAATATTTCCATCAGCTCGTCAAGCTCTGTATACTCGTTATACACCAAAAGATTGGCATAATGCTCAAATGACAAATTATTTAGCTTCGGATAAAATTCGTGCTGCAGCCGAACGTTTACGTTCCGATGCAGTACGATTGGCACGCGAAAAAGATGAACAAGCATTTAAAAATAATTTCGAATCATCAAGACGTTTAGGTGAACGTATAAATGACATTGAATATTGGAAATGTGAATTAGAAAAAACAAAAGATAAAATGAAACGTAAAATCGATGAAGTGGAATTTAAACGACGTGAAGTTGAACGATTATTAGGAGAAACAGAAAAACCATTGCGTATAGCACAAGAAAATTTGTATGAACGTGAAAAACGTCAAGGTCTAATATCTTTAACTGTTAGAATAACAAAAGTAGTGTTTAACAATTATTTATGCATTTTAGGTATCGATCTTGTACATGATAATGTTGAACGAGAACTTATTCGAGTAAGATTTTATAATTTTTCAATAAATTCTGCTCGAAAGAAAATTCTCTATAGGAAATCGATACAATTAAATTATCTCAACAAAAACTTCGACAAATGCTTGAACGTCTGAATACACAAAATGCGTAAGAATTTTTCGAAAGAAAGACTAAATTCTTTTGTCTTAAATTTCAGTATTAATCGTGCTTCACTGCATGAGTTAGAACGTGACGCACAAGATAAATTTCGCGCTCGTGTACTCGACTCAGCTGCTCATAATGTTAAAACAACATCACGGGGTATTAACTTTTATCAAGGCATTGAATCTGTGGATAATACGTAAGTTTGAATTTGTTACCTAGTCGACGCATTACATAAATCAATTGTTTATTTCAACTACTATCATGTTTCATACCTTAAACGATCAGTTACCACTCGTACACATCTGAGACTAAATAGGAATTGGTTTCACTTTAGCAACTATATGACATCTGATGTCAGTACCGAGTATTCAAGATGAATTTTTCAAGTATTTTTCAAGTAAACTGAGCGATCATAAGAGCACACTTGAATTCAATTTTTTTTCTATAACGATGCTCAAAACACTTATTTTTTTCACTCAACACAGGCTTATTAAAAGTCAAGCCTAAAATGGATTTCACTGGTTTGCTTTCTAGTTTCTTTTATTAATTAATTGATAGCGATTGTTGTCTTGACTGACCTCGATTAGAAAAAGGTATCCTATAGCAACAGTGAAATATCACTCAATAGAAGACACAATAATATGTTTATCTTACTTGAAAAAAAAATTGGCTTTCTAGTTTCTCAGTACCCGAAACATGGACTAGATATACAGAAGAAAATATTCGTCGAGCACTTAGCGAAATGTCTCAATCCGATGAATTAATGAATGCTGGCAATCAACTCATGTCAGCAACGAACAGTGACATGTGGTCACAATGGAATCATGTTAATGTTTCACTTGAAAATCGTGTACAAGAAGAGCATGTCGCAAAAAATAAAATTCAATCTCATCTTGAAAAGGTTTTGTTTAGGAGAAAAAAAATATTTTTGATGTACAATAAATTTATTTATAGATTCTTCAAGAAATCTTTGATGTTGAACAAAATATTGAATTTTTGAAAAAAACTATTGCTGATAAGGAAGCATTTTTACAAGTTGCTCATACACGTCTTGAAACACGTACTAGACGACCCAATGTTGAAGCATGTCGAGATCCTGCTATGCATAGGTAAATAGAAAGAAAGAAAAACCGAACGTTACTGATTCACTTCATTTTATCTTATTTTAAATCTAGATTAATTCAAGAAGTTCATGATTTACACGCTGCTATTGCTGATCTTCATGGTAAATTGCGTCAAGAAGAAAATGCTGTGCAACATTTATTACGTACAAAATCAACATTAGAACAAGATTTAGCAATTAAAAATAATTCCTTATTTATTGACGCGGATAAAGTTATGGGTATTCGACGCACATTTACAATAGCTGGACCAGAAAAGCATTCCACCACTTCGGTATCATTTTCTCATCCGCGTGGTCTTATTACAGTATGAAGAACAGTAAGATGTATTATTAATTTTAAATCTATTATTGATTTATCTTCTAAACTATAGTAAATCGTCTTTCAAACAACCAAACTCATCAAGTGATACTATTTGTTTTCTTCACAGAATATTTAAAAACAAAGACAAACTTTTTTTTCTTTCTTTTTCTTCTTTTATTTGGTATTTTCTTTTCTATAACTACACATACTTTTGTTTTCTTTTCTCGTGTAAACATACACACACGCACACACACTCATCGTCATCTTAATTTAAGTTTTTATTTTGAATTTTTTTCCTATGAAAGAAAAACAGAAACAATATTTGATTTTAAATTATTTTATATTGAATATTTTTTCTCTTTTCATGTCAAGAGATCGAACGAGAAAAACATTGTAACTTGCATTTTCATAATATTCATCTACCTAGTTTACTATTGTAAAAGTTGAACATTCTTTTAATAAATCTATTAGCTATACCGAGAGTATAGATTTGAAAATCATTGAGATTTGAATCAATAATAAATTGAAATATTCATTTGCTGCGGTTTCTTCAGTGAATAATAAAATTATTTTGAAGAACAACGTTGACTGTGATTGATATAAATAAAAATTTGATTCTGCATTTTTATAATTCTTTTATTAGTGCTTCATCCTTCCTTTTATAACCCGAAATTTTTTTTCAGTATCCACTACACAGTTACAAGTAGTGTCTATCTTCCGAGTAAATTATGTAACTCCAAGTTTTTCTTTTTACGTTGAAAAATTTTAGAATTAATCAATTCTATACCATAAAAATAGCAACAACTATGCATTGTTGTGTGCTTTTTCATGAAAGAAAAGAGTGTAGAAACGTCGCCTCCGCTTCTTCATCTTGTTACTACTACGTTCGATCCGTTGAAACCTTTCTCGTGCACACTAGCCACTGTTTTGTACGAGTTTTTCTTTTTTTTTTAAATTTATTATCCCGATGAGTTTTGATAGTTCTTGACAGAAACCCTAATATTGAGAGAAAAAAAACGGCATACCATTTTAAGGGTATCCTCCGTATTTTGACTTTTTCAGTCGCAAGACGGAAAATAAAAGTAAACAAAAAGAAACCACGCCAAACGGTGTCTAATATCTATAATTAGATTTTCAGCGTCACCGAATGTATCACCTTCGAAAAAAAAGGTGATGAAAATTCAGATCATTTTTTGCTTTGTTGATCTCAATATTTCATACAGAGCAGCTTGCGGAAAATTTGAGTCCATAACAAATTTTGTTCTACTTATTTAGATCTAATTGCATGTCCTGAGAACTTCTAAAGTCTTTCAATCAGCTACTCTGTTGTAAAAAGAAAAGAAATTGAAAAAGACAAGTTTACTTGTAACTTATTTTTTATTGGAGATAAATTCTGATTATTCAAATGATACTAAAGAGAATAATAATTGAATCCATGAAAGAAAAATTTCAAATCGCTTTATTTTTCTATTGACAAGTTTCTAACAGTCTATTTTCCCACTGACACTATCTCAGCTTCCAATACGATTGGCTCATTTTACTTGTATAATCGAATCAAAATTTTTTCTAACTCAAACGAAGTCTCATTGAGCTTTTTGTCGAAAAACTGCATGTTCATTAATTGAACAGAACAATTATTGAAACATACATTCTTGCATTCATTAAAATCATCACCGATCATCGATCGATCTGATAATCAAAAGTCGAGAGAAAAAAAAACGCAATGTGACTGTGTCGTGCATGTCTACCTTCGTTGACACTTGATCAGCAAGTGGTCTTTTCCAATATCCATGCTTCGTCTAATTGTCTCAAGCAGTTAGTTGCCTCACTATCACGTCATCAGAGTACTGATTGCGATCAACATCGACACATATACATATTCAGGTGCCACTCACACTAAGGCATAACTTAATTGGAGAGAGCACTCCTCCTCTTCAATGTTATTTGTCATTTGCGTGAGACGCTGTAGAAGAAAAACCGATGCTAATAATGTCAATTAACTATCCACGTTCCATAGAAATATTTGAGGAGAAAGACAAATTTCGATATACATAGTTTTGTATATATATATATATATATTTTTTTGTTTCGTATTTTATTCTATATACTGTTTTCGAAACAAAAGAAAATGTACGTTATAGAGAATAATGAAACCAAAAAGCAGAAAAAAAAAGATGAAGACGATGACGACATAGGTTCATATTAACATGCAATACATTTTTGGCGTTTGCAAGTTGTTTGTTCATCATTCGATGCTAGAAATAAACAAAATAAAAAAGACGACAATAGATGAATGATTAGAAAATATTTGAATGATTTTCACATACTATTCGATGATGACGATGATGATGGTCGTTTCTTTTTTATCGTTACTTTACTTGCAAGAATATTTTCAATTGAATGTTTTATTAGCGAAGACGATGTACTTGGTTTTGTTTCCATTGATAAGATCGAACTATTATCATAATCATCATGATCATCTTCATCGGATTCCTCAGATTCGATGACTTCGTCCGAAGGTGGATTTGGTGGTGCTGTCGGTGTTGGTCGATGTTGGAAGAAAAATGGATTATGATGATGAAATGAAAAATATCGAGATGCAGAATGTGAATTGCTTGGGTGACGATCAGGACTTGCTGGAAATGACCGATAATTCCTAATGATTTTCAATTGGTTAAATTCTTTCATGAATATTATCAATTTGAAAAATTTATACCGAGTTGATGATACTTCTTTATTGTCCATCGATTGATGTGACGGAGATATATTAACAGAATTCTATTGAAAGAAAAAACAAGTCTTAGATATATTAATGAAAATCTTCTCGCTTCTTTATTCACCTGACATTTATTCATTTCAGCTCGGCTCTCGTAGGTTCTCTTTGAAAGATAAAATAAAAGTAAACCTAGATCGGAAAATAGTTTTATTGTTAATTTACTTTCGATTGTCGACCACTTCCACCATTAATGGATCCTGGCCGAATAGAACCTGTTTCATAAAATCTTGTCAAAATTTTCGAAACGCAACCATGTGAAACAAGTAATTTTCTTGATATGTCACATGGACGAATGCCAAGTAATGCTAATTCAACAATTTGTTGACGAACATGATCAGGCAATGGACGACCATTTACAAAAACACCACCGAGTTGATTAACTCCTGCTTGACCTAGATTACAACCGTTGATTGAATGTTAAATCATGATGATGTAAGACGAGATATACTCACCAACACCCGGTACATACAATTTGCTTTTCATCTTTAGTTTCGAAGCTTTTCACAATAGGTGATGTCACTTGATTTGATAGATGGAATAAAATAATGTTCTCCTACTGGGTGTGTGATGATGTCTTTTACATGCGAAAAAAAAGCAGAGAGAAGGAAGTATATTTTTTTCCATTGGTTGATTATATCGTTTTTTCATTGGATAAAAACGCGAAGCGAAGTGAAAAAAATTGAGCGCAAGAAACATGGAATGAGAAAAGATACTTGTAACTCACGCGACACGCTCTTGTCACACGTTACAACAGTGCAAAAATGAAATATTTTTTTAACAAATCAAAAGAAATGGAAGAGAAAATCAAGGCGTTCAACCATTTCAAAGAAGCGTCATTCCCAGACAGTAAATCGCACATGTTAAATAAATGTGTTAGAATATGAGATTATTTTAATTTTAGAGATGAGTAAATTTATTATTCTATGCCAATACTAAAGCTATCGAAATCAAGCATAGGAGATTTCATCAGAATGGCTTATATCGTCAACAAACTCAAGGATAGATCTAGTTGAATGCTGTCCCGCAATGGGACGAATGGGACAAAAAAAAATGTAATAATTACCATCATTGACACTACACTAGATGAATTTTCCACAAGATCGTACGACTTTGTCCTACCAACCATGATCAAGTGATTGCATCATTTTTCAACATCTGTTCTCCTTGAAACCTATATAAACTAGTATTGGTTCACTATTAGTCTCTTATCTGTAGCGGAAAATAGAACAGAGTTTTCTTTTACTAAAAATTGATGATTGTGTTATAAATTATTAAAATGTTTTAGTCGAACTTTATTATTCATACGAATATTGATATTCAGCACTTTGAAGGAGAACCAACCAAAGTTTATGTTGTCTACGGTTTATGATTACCCTATCGCACCAGATGTCCGATCGGTCGAGATTTTGTTTCATTTTCTTTAATAGTTTTTTTTTTCTTCTCTGCCTCTCTGTCTTTTTATAAGTATGAGTGTGTGAAGTGAAATATTGCTCTTCGTGTCGGTTCACTGGCGCAACAATCAGCACCAGCCGCATATGTTTCTTCAAACGGCGTCTCAGTCGGTTGATCACTACTGTTACTCTTTTCTTTGTCATGTTAAAGAAGAAGAAAAAAGAGAGACGAAAGACTACCGATAATGATTTGTCGTTGTTAAGAATGTCATCGATTAAACTAAACTATGAAACGAGTACCGCTATTTCAATTTGTGCATATTTTTGTTATCACGAGAAAACATTTGTATATTGAAATAAAACAACTGTCAAATGAAGGATATTGACTAGAATGACGAGGATTCATTTCACCTGCAAAAGATGTCAAAAATAGAAAAAAAGAGCGTGCGTCGGAAATTGAACTGAAGCTAATCGAAGCACATACATAGCGTGCGCCGGAAATCGGGTTGGCTTTTGCTATGCAATACAGTTGAAAACTCATTTCATGATCATCATCAGTCTCGATTAGACACTTAAATATGAACGCGAAAGTCACTGATGGTTGTGCTTGATTGCTTTCTACTGTGCTTGTTTGATCGTCCACGACCAACATCTTTACAGGAGAATAAATGAGAGAAGAACAGGGCGGTTCTCACTCATTAATTCAATCACGATGACACCTATACTGTTCCCGTAACGTACCATTAACCACCTTTATTTTCTTTCAATAACCGCACATGTGAAAAGACAGTAGAATAACCATTTGTTTCTTTTTTTTTGAACAAAACATACATTTAGTTTTTTATTTCATAAACAAAACGAAACCGAAAACACAAAATTTATATTTTATCTTTATCTTTAATCATAATGTCATCTATGATCGGAGTTTTTTTATTGACTATAGTAAATGGCATTGGTATGACTGTGCTAACTGATGCTGGTATACGATTTGATTGTTTATTATTATCAATAAGTTTGATTGGTTCTGGCTCTATATTCAAGGGTGGATCATATTTCGGTTGAAATTGTTGTATCACGTAAATCTATGGAATAAAAATAAAAAATAAAAATAAAAAAAACAAAAAAAATTAGTTTCTATTTTTACTAAATCAGATTTAAGTAAAGAAAACGTTCGTGGCGGACTACAAACAACAACACGTTTACTAGATTGTGATGTCGGCCGAGTAGAACCATTATCACGGAGACGATAGAGACCAAGACAAAGCCAATCTCTATGAGTTAATAAACTAACAAATAGATCTCCATACGTAGGATTCTAAATAGAAAAAAAAAGACAATATTTTTTCTTCTTCTTAATGAATCAACAAACAAACAAACAAACAAACAAACAAACAAATCGATACTAACATTTTCCCAAAATGTCCCTACAGTAATAGAAGAATTATCTTTTGCATTGCTTGTGTCTTCGATAATGAGATTTTCAACAGGTAACAAAACAACACGTGGTCGTCGTCGATTATTTAATACTTCTTTTGAATTTGAACCTTGTGTCATGCCTGCACCTTCGGCTAAGATTTTTTCTAATTCAGGTGTTGCACCTCCAGTTATCAAGGCTATACAATAAACAATGCTAACTTTAAAAAAATCAAATTCATTTCGAATTACCTCGTAGAATGGTCAATGCATTTTCGTTAAAATAAGTTGCACTCATTAATGAATCTAGAACACTAATAGCAAATGATGTGCCACATGCAAATGGCTGTGTCATGTAAAGATCAATATTTGGATCATCATCGTCGTCTTGATCAAGAAAAACAACATTTGTATCATTTTCTAAAGGCAAAACAAAAATATATCGAATTGTTTTCTTTCTACTACAACCAAGTAGAGTGTAACACTTCTTAGTTTATGAAGATTTTTCTCTCGAAAGACTGAAATTTTGTTTTTGGCAAAGACTCGTAACAATGATTGTGCCAAACGATCACGGACGACAATAAATCAATCTACTAACTTAGTTCTGTCATAAGTGGAATTGATGTTCCATTGCGTCTATCTGTTGAAGTACATTCCGTATCGAAACTCATTGCTTTTATATTTAACGAGCAAAGTATTGCTGCTTTGTCAGTTAAATAACGATCTTGTCGTTGGTCATGATGTGACGCTGATGATGATAGTATAACACACATATCACATAAATGTATATTTATCGCACGTAACGTGGCACGATCATTTGGTGAACCCTTGAGAATAATCAATGGAAAATAAAGTAACTATTTTGTCTATAAAATAATCTTTAACATACATCAACGACGTGGACTTTTGGAAAATTACATATATGTCTCCATTCTTTTCTTAAAAATACACCATTACCAATAAATACAATTGATTTAAGTTCGTTTTCATCAAAGTTCGATGCACGTAATGGCATAACAAAACTCCGGAGACCAATCACCGGCGATGATTCTTCAGCGAATATACAACAGATAACATGATGTGTTAATTCACATTTAACTCGAATATCCTTTAAAGAAAAGAGAAAGCTTCAATCATCATGAAAAACTAAAATTCTATTTTTTAAAATTTTTATACAATGGTTTGTTGTTCGAAAGTTAGTGTTGGACACCAATAGAACATTCCAGTTGTATCGAAACAGAATGGTTTTATTGCTATTGGTATAGGTGGCGACTCAATTCTAATATTAATCGAAGAAAGTATTTTATTAAATTACTCAACCAGCCAACATACAAACTGTTACTCTCGGAACGTGGTTTTGACATTTCACGTCCTTGAAAAAAAATTCATAAAGAAAATAAATATAAGTGATAGAAACTTTTCGATGACTTACGTGGTTTGGCACCACTACCACTACCACCACCGCCAGCACCACCAGATACATCTTTAAAAAATATATAATGAATAATTACCTATAGAAATATTTTATCACAATTTACCTTCCATACGATAATGGATACATTTACGAATTGATTCGGGCTTTTGTGCATGATGACAATGACGACAATAATAGCGAGCTCTAAAGAGAAAACAATTGAGTTTCTTAACTATTTCTTACTCATACATATAAACATTTCTTTCAAGGATGCTATCAATCAATAGATAGAGTAAATTGCAACGTAATTATGTTTAACTTTTGTTTCTGTAAAAATAACATTGATTCAAAAATAGAAAAAGTCAAGGTTTTTTCGCTATTGAAATTTACATATAGAATTCAACTAAATGTACTCAGAGGCAAGGGGGGGGGAGAGAGAAAAACATCATTCTTAATCCAATAAAATGTTTTCTAGATCGTGATGACATATATTGATCAAAACACATCAATCATACAGATGGGAATAAAAGTAGTTCTCCTCATGTGAAATAGCATGAGAAAAAAGTGCTAATATTCTATGTCCTGCATGATTGATGTGTCGTCTTCTATAAATGTTCTCAGATGCAGGCCGATATTCATGTTGGTAGGCAAATGTCTGCTTTATGATCCTTGATAAAATAATTAGCGTTCTGACCGCACATTCTAATAAATAAAAAGCGTCAGCTTTCGAGTTATGATGATAGAGACAAAATTTTCATTGTAAACAAATTTGAACTCTTCTAAAATATAAATCTAATCTGTAGAAAATTACCTCGATGCCTCTTCGGAACTGCCCGCTAAAAAGAATCCTCGTGTTCGTTTAGCAATACGATAATATTGTGATGTTCGATCGGGATTAATAGCTAATCTTCTTTGTCCATTTTCTTCACAAACTTCAATCGCAAACAGAAGTATATTAAGTTCAACCAGACAAAATCTAAAAACATGCCAATAAAAATAAAATCTTCTTCTTCGTCATTTCTAACCTAGCAGCATCACTGAAGTTTTTTAGGTCATGTACAAAATAATTTGATAATGTTTCCGTATACATTTCAAGTGAAGCCCCTCGAAGATATTCTTTTAGCCACGTAGATCGATCAGGTGAGCCCTAAAATTCAGATGAGCATAAACGCTTAGTTAGCGATTTAACCGGAAAAAAATTCACTATCATGCGATAGAAACACAACAAATTCGAAACGAACAAACAGCTGTTACCTTTTCTGTTAATTTCCCAGCTACCTAAAAAATTGTTTTTATTTTATTTGGCTTCTTTCTTTCCAAATATCTATCTTCCATCTAGGTTTCTATGACAATTCATAATAGAATTTACTTACTTCTGTATCTGAACGCATTGCAAAAATATTCGCAATCATTGTTGAAAAACCCGGATTAAGGCAACTTTCAGCAATTAAACCTAATTTTAATTCTGAAAAAATAATTTAAAAAAAATAAAACAACCAATGAAACATCTCATCCTCTTACCAGCAATACATACGGCCTCATCGGTATTACTATTCCATGCTGGAATATTCATTAAATGCATCTATAACATAAATTAGATAGGTAAAAGAAGAAAAACTTTAATTTGTCTTTTTTTATCAATACTTTATTATGATATTGTAAAAGTTGTACAATTATTTTTGCATCTGAATGATAATTTTTTATACTAATTACACGCATTATATTGCTTGCATCTTCGCCATCAGGATCAGTTGCATCTTTATTTGCTAGGATTAAAACAGCTGCAGATCGTTTCAACTAAGTTTATTGTTTTTAAAAGCAAAATCTTGTTTATTCTATTTGAAAATTCTAATAAAATCAAACGATTACTTTAACTCGTTCCAGGTCAACAGGATCCATAACCGTAGCATCGAAATATTTTACACGTGTAAAATGGCGTTTCAGCAATGCTTGAAATTCAAAATCAACAGTATTCTTTCTATATATATATATACATATTATAAAGGAATAAATAGCTAAAAAGAAAATCTTTTCTTTTGTCTGTCTCTTATTACTTATCAACAATAAGTACATCAGCATCGTAGAAACTATCTGAACTAACTCGATCTTCATGTAAAAAATCTTTAAGAAAATTTTCCATTGATATAAATGTAATATGACCACATACAAGAACAAATCTGAAATTGTGAGTTGCTTTTAAATATCAATAAAAAATATTTTCGATATTTTATCCTACTTTTTTCCATTTTCTAATCTATAATTCCCAGCATATTTCTTTTTATTTGATAGCATTTCTGCTAATTCTGGTATAGCACGTGCGAAAAGTGCGAGACCACCCGTTATGAAGAATATTATAAAACATTGACCGATCGTCTACAGAAAACAAATACATAATTATACATCGATTGCAGAATATACCTAAAAGAAAATCAGAAGTTTGTATTTGCATTTGTTACGGAAAATAATTCAAAATTTTGGAACAATTTAAAATTCTATTCATAAACATAGAATTATTTCTATTTTCAAGTATTCGATATAAATATGAAAAGTATTAAATCTTGAGTTGACTTCCGATTTGTTCGGATAGACCACTTATGATATGTCGAGTAGGACATCGCTCGTCAATTTGTGCATAACTATCCGTATTGTCTCGGTGCAGTTGAAAAGAACACTTACTCTCAAGATCATCATGTCCTACAATACTTTTAGACTTTTCGTTTTTGATATTGGTATCAATAAGCATATTCTATGAGTATCTAAAATTAGCATCAGCATCAAGTCGCCACGTTTACAAAAGCGCAAAAAAGCAATTCTCAATAGAATAAATGATTTGCTATTCAAATTAATTAATAATTCTTTTTATGCATATCTTTCTATTTTAGGAGGGCATTTCTTTTTGTTTCATGCTTTATTTTACCAGGTTTTTCGATGCAATTTTTTTTTGAGAAATCTTGAAAATGATTACTAATCATTTTATCAGCAATTAGAAATATTACAAATAAGAATAACGATGAAACTAAATGCACTAGTAAGTAGCGCAACTAATAGTGCACACTAATTTCCTCTGCTTTCTTTAGAATGTCTTAGCTGTTTACTAATAAAACACGGATATATCCAAGAAAAGCCGAAATAATATAAAACAATGTTGATAGATTCTTCTCTCTTTTTCTTTTCTATGAATATTGATGATGACATTATAGCGTTGACTAACGTGATGTTTTCTTAGAAATAATCGTATGTTTATCTTTTGTTCACGAGAATATAGAAATTTTAAATTGTTCCAAATTAAAATTTTTCCCGTAACATATACAATCACATTCAAGCACACTCAGACATAAATTGTACTAACTACTACGAACTGTTCTCAAATGGTAATCGCCGTAGCCAACAGTGCTGAAAAGAACAACGAAAAAAAAATAAATACAATTATAAAGAAGAAGCAGTGAAAAAATCTAGGCCGTGTGTTAGTTTTTTATCTTTAGAATGAATAAGAGGTTCTAATTGATTTTTGATATGATTTTAATCAAACAAAATATGGCTTTTCTAAGTCTTGCCGAAGTCATACAAACTTAGATTCATGAGATGGTATGAAAATAAAAATATATCTAAAGAGGGCTTTTGGAAATAATCAATGGGCGAGTCACTTACTTCACTATTCAATCGCAAAAGATTATTTTATTCTCAGACAAGAGGCACTTGATTTAGAATAGAAAATGTGATCTTTTGTCATTTTGTTTTCGAAACTGATGAAATTAGCTGGAGTATTATCTCCATTCACTTGACAGTATAGAAATTCTCAATGCAATTAACCAGTTTATAAAGAGCTTTCGTTGGAAAAATCAATTCAGGCACTATGATTTATCTTCTAGGGCCTTATTTATTGTATCGATACATTTCTTTTTGCTTTAGTCTTAAAGAGAAATATTTTGACTTTTATGTGACGCAGCAAATTGAATATATTAACCAAATCAGACACAGAATGAAGCGAGTAAAAGATCAAGCATACGACACGCGATGAGAACAGAAAAACTTTTCCTTTTCCCCACGTATTCTACTAATGTAAATGGCAATGAATGTCTAATCCAAATATAATTTTCATCAAAAAAAACAACAACAGAAAACAAAACAAACTTTTGATAGAATCCAGCGATACACTTGTCAATGTTCTTACCTCATTGTGACAATAAGAAAGTAGACACATTGAAAATAAGTTATTGATTGTGAATTTGAATAATTGTTGAAGAAGTCGCCGGAATTCTCAACCTAGAAACAAACGTTTATATAGAAATCATCTGTTTTGTTTCTTGTCGAAGCAAACAAAATAGTACCAGATGAACAAAGCCAGCCGCCGATAGCCACACAGTAAAGAGAAGACACAACATGCGCGTTAATCGAATTGAATTACTACTACGAAGTATATGCAAAAATTGTAGTATGTCAGGAATATTCATGATACGTGCAATACGAAAAAATCGCATTCCTAATAAAAACAAAAAGTGAATTAATATGTAATAGAATTTCAGCTCACATACCAATCCAATTTCTTCCTAAGACAATAGCAGTAAATGATGGTGGAATAGTAAAATAATCAACCCATGAATGAACGTCCAAACACCAAAATCGAAGTTTATCTTGTGCAGCAACAAACTAATTAGATTATGAAAACAAAAGAAGACTTTTTTTGTTTGAGTTAATAATTAAACCATACTCGAAGGAAAAAATAGAAAAGAAAAAAGATATTGAAGACTAAATCAAGTTGTTGTGTCAGACTTTGTGTCCATAATTGACATAACTCAATGGGTCTTTTGAAAGAAAAAGAAAATAATAAAAAGTTTTCTGCTTTTAATTTATTTTTTTATGTTTTTCTTACTGCGTATTAACATCATAGAAATAAATAACCAACGATGCTAAACTCAAGACGACAACGGCGATAACCTATAATATAATAGATATCTGATAAATCAATTATTTTGTTTATTTTTGTAATACATACGAGTATTTTACCAGGCAATTGTTGACCCGAAATCAATTTCGCTGCATATTCTTTGACTACTGTTGCCCAATTGCGTTCATTTATTGGATCAAATCCATAAGATAGTTCTTGTTTTTCAGCTAGGGATACTAATCGTCGAGATCGATGTCTCATTGTGGGTCCACGTTTGTAAATTAAAGCACCGCAACGCCATAGAAGAATAGCAATCACACCAATAAAATACGTTGCAAGACTTGATAAAACAAACGCAAACCAATAACGTTCACCTGAACATGAATCTGCTAAGCCTCTACTAGTAATCGACGCATTACTGTTATTTTCGTCCATTGATCAATATTAAAGTTCTATTTACTAAATAAGCAAAGAATAAAAACATAAAAGAATGTTGTCTTCGATATCATATATACAAAATAGTTGTTATCAAATCGTTTTGTTTGTACATTGTTTACTGCGACCAAAACAAATCAACGCGGAAGTCAATTAATGTATTTCTAATTTGGTTCGAGATCCAAATCAAAGGAAAAAAACAATAAGGAATTTTTTTTCTTTATATAGTAATGAAAGCTTTTTTTCTATTTGTCTTCGTATTTTTATTTTCAATTATCAAATAAAAATAGCAAATATAACAAACCTATGAGCATTAGCTGAATATTAGACAATTTCTACAGTAGCTTAAATCTTGTTGGCAGCTGTCTGCAACATGGAAACGTTGTGAAAAGAACCACACTTAGAATAAAAGAAAGATATACGAAGCGATAGAGAGAAAAAGACGAGACCTCCCCCTCCTTATTGGTAATAATGCCTAGGCATCATTTGGTGGAATCATACAGCCATTCGCGACCAACAGCGATGCCTAAAGAGTAACCTCTTTTCTCCTCCTGCGCCTTATTAATATGCCTATACGAAGACAAACTATAGCAGCAGCAGCAGCAGCAGCAGCAATAACAACAACTCGACACCGGTCTTTTCTCCTTCAATGCACAAAGTGGAAAGGAAGAACAACAATTACTCGAACTATATACCATCAACAGAAGAAAACAGAAATGGAGCTGTAAAAGCAAAAGGAACTAGAACAGCAAGCAGATACCATGATATCATCTCTTGTGCTTAGGTCATATTTCTATATCAAATAAATTGGATTCTTGTTCTTTCTCTCTTCTCTTCTCTAGTTATTCCATTCACGAGGAACACATAAGAGCGAGAAAAGATCCGTGGAAAATAAATAGCACTTATCTCTAATTCAATCATGTATATTTCCATAAAAAATAAAACGAGAACCGCAAAGATTTCTTTCGAATTGTAAATCATGGCCTCTTGTTCAATATTTCATAATTATGAATAATGGTGTCAACATATGTCCAATCAATTCGTATTATTGATAGAGCAAAAAAAGTTACAAGCAACTACAAATAAAACAAAGCCATTTGGTTTGTCTCATTACAAATGTTATTTTATCTGTTTCTTCTTTTCGATTTATATTGGACAGGAAACATCTGAGTCACATCGCATCTTCATAAAATTATAACGAAGTCCTCTGGGACATGAAAGTGTTGATAGATTTAAGCCAGCACATTGAAAGTATCGACCATATTTACAATTTGTCGAATCAGCAAAGATGCCTGGGGCAGGACACGAAAAATATGCTAAAATTATACAATATATGTTTACATCTAGATTTTTATTGCTGACTTTTGTTTTGACTTACGCGTTTGACAACATTGACCTGCAATGCCAGATGGACATCGACAAAAAGCATAAGATGTTACACCATTGTTTTTTTCTTCACAAATACCTCCATTTTGACACAAATCAGGTGTACACCGACCGGAAACACCTTAAATCAGTAAAACTCATTTTGAATAAATTCTAAAACAAACAAGAATTATTTGATTTCATTTACCAACTAATTCACAATTTGAGCCAGAAAAGCCTATAAAATAAGGGAAAAAAATAAATTTTCTATATGTCTAGCTTTTCTGATGTCGGGTGTGTCAAATTTATTCTACCATCTAAACAGGAACATTGTTGATCGACTCCATTTTCAATGGTTGCTACTGAATTACAAACACCACCATTAGCACATACTACATTTTGACAATTTGTTTGGCCTAGAAAAATGATCCCGCCAAGATAAATAAAGATAGCAATCGAAATCCTACCAGGCGATATTTCACAATAAGGACCACTAAAACCAGCTTGACAAATACATATGCCTGCTGCTGTATTGTAAACGCCTAATTATACCAAATAGTGATATATTCATGTTAGACGAAAACTTCCTGTTTTACTTACCGCCGTTAAAACAAATACCAGGCGCTGGTGTTGTCGGATTAGCGTCTATATTTATATATTATTCTTAGTTAATGTGATTCATTATTTTATTTCTGATAGAAATTCATGGCAGTATCATCTATGTTTTCTCGCCTCTTACCTGGACATGGTCCTGGATGAATATATATACTGGAACCATTTGTACATCCACAAGCATAAAACAAACTTTCATAGAAAGATTTTTCAATACAGACACCATTTGGGCCACAATTGACCTTATTACAAACGCCTAAAATGAGCAGTTGAAACAAAAAATAACTACGAAATGATATTGAAAAGTTCATACGGCAAGGAGTATTGATTTCTGATTGACCATCAGGACATGTACAGATAACATCATTGAAATTGTCTGGCACTTGAAGACATTGATAGGCAGGTGGCGAAAAACCAGCACCCAATATGCAAGGATTTGTATTACATTGAACTATAGAAATAACCAAAGAATTAAACTATTTAAAGACAAAAAACTATTTTTATATTTTACCTGCTAATGAACTTTTTGTTAATGTAAAAATTATAACTAAGAGCGAAGTTATACAATGCATCATTTTGTTTTGTTTTTACTTACAAGAAATGTTTTGATTTTAAGAAAAAAATAAGATTTTATACTGCTTCATTTTCCTACGCAAATCAATCAGACATAGAGATCTAATTTCATTGTCGTATTGCTACCTTGAAACATGATGAAGATATTCTTCGTATATATCCATAATCATATGTTGACATCAACAAAAAAATACGTTAAATACCTTGAATTCCGCATATTATCTAATATTGAATTTAGTTTTTTCTTTAATAATCATAAATAAATCAACACAGGAAAAGGACGAAAAATATTACATTTCAATGTCTATCTCAGCAAATAATGATTCATGATTATAAAATAGAATTTTCATCGAGCTATTTTTTTATATCCTTAAGAAAATAACTTTATATTGTAGATCGACAGATTAGAAAATTTTGGATCAGATAAATATTTGATTGATGACAGAAAAAAGACTGCTGCATTATCTAACCTTATCTGTGTCAACCAACGTATTCATATAAGTCAGATTGTTTTATTGTCTTGTAATTTATCTTTCGTTTTTTATCTTCTGCTATTCTTCGACTTCATAGTCTCTTACAATTGACCATTGATGATATATTACCATAAGACGACTCAGTAATAAATTGTTTTTCTCAAGAAATAGAATATAATTATATATATCTATCATATCTATCATGTAAACGTGTTCGTAGTGAATATTCAGTGAGAAGAAAAGAAAAAAAAACATTAATTTATATTTGGAGTACATGCATTTTTATAGAATATTTTTACTCGAGGTTAAAATTCTACAGTTGAATGAATAACGCAAGAATCATTTATAGCGATTTCCAGATAAATATTCATATCCTCATACCAAATAGGAAGTAAAAACTAAGTGTTACTATGAGCAGTCGATTTATCTTTTTAATTTAAATTGAGAACGTTTTCCAATCATTATCGACGTTTTTCTTGTAATTCAAGTCGTTTATAGTTTTTTTCCAGTTCTTTCTAAATAAACAATAATTTATTTACACAATTAGAGAATTATGAATATAATACTTCATATTTTTCTTGAATAAATCTACGCAACTTGTTCATATAAATATGATCATTAAGCATGACTATATCACTTCCAGTTAAATCTCGGATAGTTTCAGCTACGTTTCTTTGTATTTGATTATTTCTGTAAAATAAAAACATGAGGAAACATCGGATTCGCATCCGATTGTTATGTGTACTGAAAAAACTGAGTCGATTTATGTATGTTGTGAATAATTCTAAGAAAAACATTTTTTTTTGAAAAAATCCCTGTACCCCCCCCCTCAGGGATGGCCTGGTCAAGACTGACAATTTTTTTCGATAACTCAGCCATTTCTTGATGGATCCTTCTCATCTTCGAACGCGACTGAGATATTAATGAGATCATTATGTGTACAAAATTTCATGACAATTGGATGAGGCTTTCGACGGTTATCGTGTTAACGGCCAGACACACTGATCGAATCTAGAGTGTACTTATTCTTTTTTTGGGTAAGTTACACAAAAAGAAGAAAACAAAGAATTTTAAGTCAATGAAACTCACTTACTTTGGCAATTCAAATGGAACGGCATGCGCTCGACGAATTTCATCGAATGTATCTTTTTGACTTAAATCTTTCAGAATTTCTTCAATAATTTCTAAACGACGTTCATCAGTCAGACCGTTAGGTATGACTTTTGACGCGTCCATAGTTTCTCTATTGTGTCGTTCTCGTTTCTTTCCCAATTGATTTTTATCGTCAGTGAAGTCATCTTGTCGTTCAGGAATTATTTCAATTCTAATTTTACAAGGAAATGGTAACTTTTGTTTTGGTCTCGATTCAATATGGATCATACTTGAATGGTATTGTATCAAGTAGTTCATCAGTTATTTCTTCTGTGATTGATATATTGTCTTCAGCTTTCGCCTGACTATGTAATTTTCGTAATTTACGAAGATTTATAGTTGGAAATTGAATAGCCGCATCATAAATTGATAGAAAACGAGTAGCTCGTGAAGGAGTTTCAAGAGATGATGGGGATTTCTCTTGTTCTTGTTGAGTTTCGTCTGAAAAACGTAATTGCCGAGTCTCCCGTCGAGAATTAAATGTTATTAGAGGCGTTATGTCTTCTTGAGCTTCTTGGCTGTATTCGTTTAAATCGTCCATTAAGATTGCAGAATTTTTCTTTGTCATCACATAAACTATCAAACAACGCAATTCTTTATTATTGTTATTGCGCATTTATAGAACAGAGCAAAAACAGAAGATTGTATTTCACAATAACAACTGTTTAAATTTCTTTCATTTGGGATGGAATGGCTCCCTGTATAAAAAAAAGTGAGTCTTATTTTTTGTACAAAAATGCCTGATGTTGATCAAATTAACGACAATTTCATCAAGAGTATAAGAGCCTATCGAACCGAGATGGATATAAACCAAATGCTCGGTATTATATGTGAATTATCAACAAGGCAAAGTTGATATGTCAGTATCTATTAGGTTTGCTCATTAAGTGAATACATTTATGTCAGTATTCTTGGGTTGTTCTTCGATGAAAAATTCTACAAAGTGAAAGATAAATGGGAAGTAAATAATAATTATAAAAAACGGTTGTGCTACATAATGTACCTTTATTCCATCGTTTCTAGACTTCCTTTTTATGTTTTAATAGAATTATTCGATATTCTACAGTTATTATTTTAGACTTCGTACCTTGTTCTCTCTTGGTCCTATTTCTGTATAAATGCTTGGCTTCTTTTGAATAAAATAAGTTGAATTTTCCATTGACTAAAATTAATATTAATCATTTGGTTTCGAAATGACTGAGGCATTGAAAGTTGCTGATGTGCCATCTCGCATTTCAGATGATGAGATAGATACAAAGGTAACTGACAATAATAAGAACAACAAAAGAGTGCAACATTTTTCATGCAATCGCAACAGGATTGGCATGTGAAACTGCTTTCTAGAGACTGTATGACAGACAGTTTATAAATTAGATAGCGATGACTTAATTGATTAATAAGTCATTTGTAAATCAATTCAATATTCATTACATGGTCATAACCTAATCAATTATTTATCTCATTAATACGTCTGTCACGATCTGGAGGGAGAGGGCTATCGGATGGACGCAGATTTTGACCCATATACTTCAGCACTCCTTATCCATCGTGTCGCGCAATGGAATGAAATAGGGTTCAAAACTGCTAAAGAAACTGAACAGGCAGTAATACAAGAAAATCAATGGAATTATCGTCATAGAAATAGAACAATTGAAGACAATAATAGCTTATCTCACTTGTAATTGTAGTATTTTACTGAAAAAATAAACAAAAATGATTTAGCAATTAAATTCATACCAGTCGGTATTATTGTATTGCAATGAAAATTTTAGCATGACCATTAAGAATAAGGTGCGTCAATTGATAGACTTCAAATTTCAAAATATTATCGTTTTTTGCATGCAGTTTTTCAAAAATTCTTTGATTAATGATCGCAACTTCTGAATCAATGCACTTTAAATAAATAATCCATAAAAAAATGAGTATATATGTCGTAGGCCATTCTAAGGTCCGAGTTTGGACTAGTCCAATCTTGGATTGATGCAATCCTATTCATTAATATATCAATAACTTTTTAGATAAACTTTGGATTCGAGTCATTTTTTTAAATCATGTTCAGATAGCGTCGTTTTAAGTATTACAAGCATTCACGGAGAAACTAACATTAGACTCGGAAGCTTATTAGCAATTTTTCATAAAACTTGTTCTCCTAGAGAAATCTATTCATAACTCCTAATATTTTACTTGAATCTTTCCAAAATCTATTGTACAAAGCAAATTGGCATCGTATAAACATGATTTCAAAAAATGACTCAAATCCGAAATTTATCTAAAAAGTTATTGATATATTAATGAATAGGATTGCATCAATCCAAGATTAGACTAGTCCGAACTCGGATCTTAGAATGGCCTGAATCCGAGATTGGTCTACGACATATGTACGAATGGCAACGATACTATAGCATGATATTCTAAGATGAAAATGCTCAGTGAATTGAATTGTTTTGAAAGTCTTTTTTTTGGTTATTACAGATTGTGTTGTTTTTAGAAAGTTCTTACTGCTACTACTTACGAAATCAGACATCCGTATAGTAGGAAAGAACTGAAATAATAGATTTTTACTACTGTATATTGTTAAAATATGTCATTCAATCAGTGCCATCTATTGTTGATTAAGTTTTTGAATTAGAGAAAATAATCGGATCAATTGGAACATAAGGCAGATTAATATCTTTTTCTGAAAGTCAGATTTGTAGTTCATGTTCAATATTCTGTCACGAAAGATAAAAATAAATGCTTGTCTCATCAAAAGATTCGAAGGCGATTAAATCGTTTTCAGCAATGAAAGCCAATCGATCAGAAATAAATATATTACTAAAAGAAAAAAATTCTTCTACTTCTTTTTTTAAGAAAAAGACTTTCGGCAAAAGATTTCTCCCATTAATTAATCTGAAACTCTCGTAAATGGCTGTTTGGTCAAGTTTAACAATGATTATTTCATGAATATATAGTGATTAAAACTAAAATTGAAAACATTGACGTCACAGAACAGAAAGCTTTATATTTATGAAGCAAATAAAAATAGTGCCGACATGTCACGCGAGATTTCTTACTAGAAACCTATCAGGAAAGATAATTAATTGGAAAACAATTCAAAATTAAAAAATATTTGTAACGCATTATATACTAATAATTTAGTAGCATGTCATGTATTATCGAAATTACCATGAACTAGTTCTAAATCGTTTTTTCTATTGAAATAGAAACTATTTTCTGAAGACACCATCATCAGAATTCATTTAATGTACCTGGAACATTTGAATTCGCATTTTAATAGTTTATGGTTGCCCGTACGTGAAATACTTTCAATTTATAGTATCCAATATTGCTCAATAATCCTTCGAAATACTACAAGTAGTCACCTAGTGTATTTATTAATTTTTCCTTTCATATAGTATAGCAAGACGCACCACATCAAAATGTAGATTGTTCTTTTTTTCCCGTCGGCATGATACCATGATAACGCAATATACTGAAATAGATACGATAAAAACAAATAACAGATAAATTCATATGGATGCATAAAAATATATTTGTGTAAGGTTTCAACGCAAGAAAACACAAGAAGTATATCCAACTAGTTTAATTAATTTTCTATTTTCCATGTTGCAGCATAGAACTATTGCCATTATTGTTTTATGTCATGTAATATTATCAAAACTAGAACTACGTGTAAAAACAAAGATTGTCGTAGAAAGAAATAACGAGCTCAGAGAGTAATAATCTAGAGTTTTGCAATGAGAGAAAACATAGTTGTTCTACGCTGAAGAGCGACAAGGAATAGACCGATCGCTGAATAAGAGAATGAAGATCGCGTATCTCTCTTTCACTATATAATAGCAGACTTAATGTTACAATAGAGAACAGAAATTATTCATAATTTGGTTTAGCTTTTATCAGATCGCCAAAACACTTTGAAGGTAAACCAATGAATATTACTCACTATTTTCTAGTACTTCTTTAACACAACAAAGCTATTTTTCAATGTTATGCTCACTTTCATAATAAGAACGCTATATATTTAGTGGCTTACACGATTTACTTGCCGTTGATTGTTTGGATGAAAAGAAATGAACAAATGACACTAGTTACTGTGATAGGCAATGCATTGTCAGAACAAAATTCATTAAAATTTTTCCAAGGACTAAGAGTATTCATCAATAAGCGATTGGTAAACTAAATTTTCAGCTAAAAATGAGCAGTGCTCATTCTTTTGAGGGTTAAAAGAGTTGTCAACATGGCCACTTTGGCAAAAAATGTACGTAAAGGTACGAGTAAGCCACCATGTTTTCATATAGTTTAAGAGATTTATGCTACTTTTATCGATATTCTTGCACCCTCAAACGATCAACGACACGTAAGTCCGCTACAAATAAATTGTGTATACGCTCACAAAGAATATTCAGAACATTGATTATAGTCGATAGTAGCGATGTTCTTTTGAACTTTGTAGAACATTTTATTGATCATGAAATACATCAATAGGCAAAGTTTAAGGTCGAAGTTTTTCAGTTCGAATTATTCATGCAAGCTGGCCAGAAATAAAAAGAAACGTTCTGTAGAACAACAATAGTTCAGAAAAGAAAGCATTTGCCAATAATCCTTCTATACTTCTTACAATTTCATGGAGTCCTACTCGTGAAGAAAATGCGAAGTAGGTCAGCGTTTCGCCTTTAGGGATCTTCCCTAGTCAGACATTTTTATTTCACATGAATAAAAGGTTTTGTTCTTCTTTCATATAAAATAACTGTGCAGAGTATCGATGAAATCGCTCTATATAAATAGTTAGCAACGATATGTTCTATTCAAGTTTTATTAAAGAGAACTTTTGACATTGTGAATAAGAATCAATCACAACTATGGTCAGACAGAAGCCTGCGAACCCTAGTTTCATCTTTTATCGAGTTAACCAACAAATCTTCTATCAAGAAAAACATCTGTTCAATCAACAAATAAAAAAATAAAACACTAAGAAAAAATTTAAGGTATTGTCGACTGTAATTTCACATTGCTTTCAAACAATACATTTTAAAGGAATTAAAATAATGAATAATTTTGCACTAAAATGCTAAACTACCTAGATTAGCTAAAACTTTTGTATGATACGTGAAAAGCAAATCTCGAAAGTTTTTGATGGGTTCATAATTTTGATAATGTTGATTAACACCAGCATCTAATTATTGTGGCAAAATATGCGCGTTTCGAGCGCCGCCACTTTCAGATATAAAAACATCAAGTTATATGTCAAATGAATACTAAAAAAACAAGTTCTATAAAAGAAATAAGAACAACAGTAAATATTTCGATAGTAAATATGATGAGAATGAAGAAAGGTTCGTATCTAGTAAAAAAAATCAGATCGAACTTTTTTTATCCATTATTTTCTTGCTGTTGAGATAAGTTTTAGATTTTAATGCTTGAATGAGAAACGTCTAAAGTTATCCTTAGAGTCAAATTCACATTTGATAGTTTGAATACTAGATCAACCTTAACAAGTATCTAGAGAAATATTCCTAAATCTGATATTCGCTATTTGATATTTCACTTATTTGCCACTATTGTTTTGCATTTAAAATATTAGTCATTTTTACTCGGTAATTTAGCATTCATCAGACTGAATTGATCTTATCATAATGCAACATCAATTCTTTGAACAGACAATGCATTAGTTTTTGTTATTATTATTCTAAATTGGTGGTAGACTATCTGCTTTTTGGTTCGCAAAAGGCGTGATCCCCTGCAACGATGAGTTCATTTTAATTATAGCTTAGCTCCCAAGAGATCAACAATTGATAATATCAAGTTGACTTCTGTTTTGTCTATCTTGTTAAAGATTAATATTAACGTTTTATTCAGTTATACGCAATGTATATTTTCCTATTAATTTTGTACGCTTCAATTTCTGCTCATCGTTGTTTTCCTAATGTACGAATAAAATGACAAGCGATCTCAAACAAAAAGAGACATTCATCTGCTTATTTTAACTTAATAAATAATTTGTCTCAAGTTCTTCTTTTCTTTGCTTAATAGTAAGTAGGTGTTCCACGACTTAAAGCACGTCGCATTCACTTTTTTCTACTAGCTGTACTCGTAGAACTAGAAATACGTGTATCATAAAACAATCTCTAGTTAAGTTTCGTTTTTCGTTTTATTTCAGATTAAAATTACTTTGAAAATGGACATGCATCATGCTTTAGTACTGTTTCTCTTGACTCTGGCTTTACAGGTAACAGTAAAAAAACCTATATTTAATTGATTGTTTATATTTTAATCATAGCAAGCAACACATGTGCAATCGTTTATCACATATGCTGAACGTATGAGCAATGAAACTCTTCAAATTAATCCTCCACGACATCACCAAATCCCATTAACGGATCAGTCATTTGTACTAGTAGCACCAGCAAAAACTGATGAAATCAATTTTACAGATGATGAATCAGACAATAGCCACCACATCGGTAAAATAGTTACCCTCTACAAACGACGAAATGGCGTGCCATTATTTGGTCGGCGGTGGATACCTGGAAAACGCCGAGTACCACTGTACGGTTGAAAAATGAATGTTTAAATAATTTTGAGTGTTCGTATAACAGAATAAAAGAATGCATGTATTTGCATCATGTTTTTCTTTCGACATCATGACCGAGATAAACTGAATTTCTGCTCGTATAATAAAATGATGGTATTGCCTGACTAGATGCTTTGATTTCTGCATGACTCAGCCACTCTAAATATTAATTTTCATCATTCATGTTTTCTTGAATTTTGTCTACCAATAGATACGCAGTAATATTGTTGAAATGTCAGAGAAACTGCTTCTGTGGTTCAAAATAAAAAACTACTGGCTATGAAAACGTCCAAAGTCGCTACTCTGAAGCGGTTGTTCAGTATTTGAAATCGTTTGCTTTCCATTCACCTAAATAATTCTCCTGAAAATTTCTATTGTGACATACGAATCTTCTCGATAAATCAGTGTGATGAATTGCAAAATAAAACTAGCAAACATTTACAAAAATGATGACAAATTACCAAATCACGATGAACAACTTCAAACCAGCGTGTACAGTTGGTACTGAAATTTGCATCGTTGAAACGTTGCTGAAATAATATTATTTTTAGATCCATAATTATTACAAAAAAAATGAAATTTGAAGGACACACTGATTACATTACAGGAAAAAAAATGAAACAAACAAATAGTAGCAAGATATGCATGACTAGGCAGTTATTGAGTTTCAAGAGACTGAACGAATTGAAACGTGACATAATGACTTTGGCGTATAAAGTTTGACATTGCCGATGTTGTTCAAAATAGCTAATATCAAGAAAAAACGTTTACTGAACACGTTATCAAAACAATGATATGTATCTTTAAATTCAATATTTGTTTAAAGTCGTATAAATAAATATGTTCTACAAGAAATTTGCCAATCGTTTAGCTAAATATAATTTCATCCATCTGAACAAACCAGGGAGAAGTCGATTGTTGTGCAAAGATGAGACTGCCTCGACTTTATCTGATCAAGATTCATCCTATTTTAATCGGCAAAATCTCTTTGGATCTTATTACCCTAGATTTAAAGAATATTTATTTCCATTCTGGTTTAATTAAGACCGAATTTATTTTTCAATTTCGCACAAAAAAGTCAAAGACGTGCTGACTATGATGAAACATTAGAAGATTATCGAACATGCATAAACCAGATAGGATCATATTAATTACTACAAAAGGCATATCCTTAAGATGGCCTTAAAAAGATAATTTATACGTAAATCTTCATGTTAATCGATATTACAAGTTCGATCATGTCAAGCATTTGAAAATCGACATACGGTTCAACAATTTTAAATGCACTCATAATCATCAACTTGTTAGAAGTGATAGTACCAAAAACAATCTCATTTATATAAATAATTGATTACATCTAAACTTTCCTTTCAGTAGATTACATGTTGGCTAATTTGAATCAATAAAAGCAATGATATTTCTCCAGAAACTAGTCCACAGAGCAAACCAAGATATAATGAAAGAGCTGCTAGATGACAGTAATGAGAAGCGACTACTAAATTATAGTTCACAAAGTAAAATCTGGAAAATGCCAGTTCGTCTCATCTCTTTTTTACGAACTCCGGTAAAATAATTTGTTTATGATCTCGTGACATGAAAAAAAGACATGGTGTTCAGAATTGATTCCGAACTCCATGTAAATTTTTCTTTTTACGAACATCAAAATTTGACTGGAGATCGTAATCAAAATGTCCGGATGTTCGTAATGACAAACACATGAAAACCGTAATTAAAAAGAAGACGACACGATTTTCGCAAGTATGTTCAGGTTTTGTTTCCCTGTGAGAAAATATGAAGTGATACGCTATAGTCGCAACCTAAAATCACGTATAGTCAACGTTTCGGCGGATTCAAGCAACTACGATTGCACTTCTGTTTACTATAATAAGTCTAGTATTAGTTACTGTTCTCCTTATTCCTTCAGTACTTTCTGTTACAAGATGCCAGCTTTATTGAAAGAAAATAAATAAATATATATTCATGACTCCAATGTTAATGTACATCATCCTTCTATTTATTCTTCGATGAGTGTACACGTTTTCTGAGCCTGGCTATTTTTCGATGTTGAAGCAATGAGATCGGATTGATATGATGACGTGCAAGATGAAGACAAAGCAGCAGTAGTATGATCGCTGGGTCTAACTCTAAGATGGTTCAATATTGGAGTTGAACGTAAATAAGATTTAGGAACAGCTTGCTCAGTTGTTGCTTTCGACAACTGCTGGTTTTTAATCAACTTATACCCTTAGAAACCACTTCTGAAACGATAGTACAAGGAGTATATGTAGAGAAAGAATAATCGTCTACTTATATAATCATGGATGTAATCAAAAGTGCAACCTATTATTGTCTATAAGAGCAGAAGTTCTTTATATCAATTACAGTACCCTTAAAAATCCTTTTACGGACTCCACGTTTAAGTACCCTTAGAATTTCCTTTCAAACTATCGACGGTGTTTATTACAATCTCCAGGTGTTACACTAAATATAGCAAAAATACTCTATTCCGAACATCCGGTAAACATATTACGATCTTCGGTACATAGATGTTTACGAACTCCCGGCATAAACTTTTACGAATAAAATTCATTTCCGAACATCCGGTAACATTTACCGGTGTTCAGAAGAGGTGAGACAAAACGTAAGTCACCCGTAAAATCTCTAAACAATAACTATGACACAAAATGCCTAGAAAATCATCTTCGAAACACACACATGCCTTCAGTAAGATATACAATAAAAACATATCGATTTGACTGATGCATATAGAAAACGTTTGCCACATGATGATTTGTGACTTGATGGATGACACAAAAAATATAGTAATACAAGTGTATGATATCTACAAAAAAAAATTTATATTCACTTAGTGAACATGCAAAACTATCATTGATTATATATGAATGCATAGAAAATGCCCTAGCAATTCAATTCAGATCAATTCTATCGACTAATCAAAGTTTCGACTGAAGCAAAGGTCTATTAAAATATTGAATTAAAAGTAGGTGGGTGATTCAATGAGCAACCAGGATATGTATAAAGTATTTCAAATGGACTTAAAACTACAAAGAGGAACACTGTAAATGACATGAGATTATCAACAATTTTCTGCACAATGTATGATATACATCATTGCATTGAAATAAACCTATTATTGATATTCCTCTAGAATTAAAATGTGAAACATGATGTAGCCGCTCCTGTTAATGCAAGGCAGATTGTCTTTCTGGGACATATGGCTTTATCATCCGTTTACTTAAAATTCCAGAAATGGACATAGAAATAAATTCACATATCAGTACCAGGCATGATTGATATAAGATCTTTGATGAACCACTTCTTTCTTATTTGCTACATTAATTGAGAGAGACAGTCCTCGGCTTCGATCTCTACACAATTTAACATGATTTTCATTTTAAATCGAATAAAACAGAATACAATTATTTGAGCAAGATGCAGTAATAATGCACCTGCTTTCTGACTATCTTTTGCTTGTGAGAAATATTTAGTAGTAGATCGAGTACCTCGATATTTTCTTGACAACTTTAATGTGAACGACAGTTTCTCACAGGCAATCGGGTAATCGTGGCGCTCGTTTGCTTTCTTGCTAGAGCCCTCTTGACACATTACTACTAAATCATAGTAGCCGACATTTTCAAAAGTAACGCTTACATTTAAACTAACTGAGTTGGCTTGAAAGATATTTGACAATAGCACATTTGAAATAACATCTATTCATGGATGATCATTCAAATTTTTCAAGGAGTCGATCATTGAAATAAAAGATTTGGAAAGTAATTCAATTGAATAGTCTCAATTATTTTCATCATTAGCTATATTTATCGTTTAGTTGAGAATCATCTGATTATGCTGGACTGTCTTTTCTAAATTGTCTGGCAAAGGTTTTTTCTCTCTTGTTTCTATTTCAAGAAAAAATAAATCTGACAACGTTCAGACTTGTCAAGATGGCGTTACCATCATGAGTATTTATGTTTTACTGGGTTCAATATAGTCTAATAAGCTTTTATTTGTAATCATGCGTGGTGAAATACAAGCATTCTTAAGATCTAAAAACAGATATACTCGCAGAAGAATTGAGACATGATTACTAATGAAGTACTATATTTATATAGTACTAAACTTGCTCTATCCTTGAAATGAACACTAAAAACAGAAATAAAGTGGGAAAAAATAATCTCATTTGCTATTTGATTGATCGAAAAAGAATGAAATATATACTCGCACTTGAACACACACGAGACTCCATTGTAATTCTAATACAGAATAGAATGAGAATAGAACTTAAACAAATGAGTATCGGGTTATTTTTCTAATTATCAAGTCTTTCATCGTTAGGTTTTGTATTACAATAATATTCTTTGACTTTTATTTCGCATGAAAATGAAAGCAAATCGATACAATATACTTGAGTTTATCTACAGAGATAGCTTCTAAATCTTTTAAAATATATAGTTCCCATTATAAGGACTTATTATACTGTTATTTTACTTTATTATATATTGTTCAACATTTTAAACGGAAGAGAATTATGAAAAGGAAGCTTTTTTCTAATCAAATGTTCCATACGATTGTTCATTAATAGTATCATTGATAAGATGATCTGTGTTAATTTCTTTTGCAGCTTGATTTTGTTCTTTTTCAACACGTTGCCTTTCATCTTCATCACGTCTTCTATAGGTAAATCGAGTTAACACAACCATTATAATACAGCTGACTCCAACAACTAATACAAGAAAATTCACTAACTTATCTCGATTTGGTGCGACAAATAGAAAAACAAGCGAAACAATATTTATCCATTGAACAAGAATGGATGCTGACAATGATTCAGGAAGAGGAAACATTATTTCAGCAAGTGCTTCATAGATCAATGGTGTTGCAGCACCTGAAAATAGACCAGCTAATGCAGTTGATAATCCAATTGTAAGAGCAGTGGATGAAAGAATATGTTTATCATAAAATAAACTATGAACACAAAGTTCAAACCAAACGATACCACACAGACAACCAATCAATGATAGAAGAATAAAAGTCTTCAGTGCATGCTGAAAACGACGTCGATCAGCAATAGTACTTAAAATAAGACCACCGACAATTCCAGCTATCGAGGAGCCGAAACCAAACCAACCTTAAGCATGTAGAATATAATTATTTATTCATGTTTAATTTTTACTTCATTTTCTATTTATACCTGCTTGTGCTTCGGTATAGTTTTCTGGTTTAAGAATAATATCATAAAGACTTGTCCATGCCCCAAATGTTCCATTAAGAAGACCACCTGCTAATGAAAGAAGTAAAAATGCCGGCGTTGTTAGACATTTCCAAATATCTACTAAAATCTTTCGCCAATCATGATTATGTTCTGTCGACGTAGAATTAGAAACAAGCAATTCAGCAGCAGCTGACGGTGCCGACGGTGGTTTCGGAGGAAAATAAAGAAGTGCAAGAACACAAGCAACAAATGCAAGACCTAAATGAACATAGAGAAGACGCGGCACGTGTTCAGGTAACGCAACAATAAATGGACTAAGCACAAAACCAATCGTTGCACCGAAATTATTTGCAAATATAGCAATTGTTGTTGCACGTGTTCGTTCGTGTGGAGCAAACCAAAGACATGACAGCTGTGAAACTGGTGCCATTACTAAAGGACCGCAAGCTGCATTTAATATTTGGCCAACATGTATGAATGGTAATGCAACCTTATTGAATTTTGGATTTGATGCCGATAGAATAACGGATGGAATAACACGAGAAAGTGCTCCTAGAAAATCAGTAATTGCCAATAAAATTACACAATGCCGCAATCCATCAGGCCTGTTTACTAATACTGAAGTTAAAGGTAAACATGGAATGAAAATTATAGGTCCCCAATTGAGAAGAAGATCAATCGTTGAGTCAGTTATGTTATAATAAATTTCTGTGTTTCTTGCTATTGGAGAAAATGTTAACCACATGATACATTGATTGAAAGCAAGAAATGAAAAGACAAATAGAACATAAAACCGAGTCTTATAGACTTTATAAGCTGGTCCATGAACTGGTGTCACGGCAGCTTTTATTGCACCAGTTTCAGGCATCGTTTGACTGATTTAGCACTGACCTTAAATAATCGAAAAATTCTAACTTGACAGACGCCTATGTTTTGCTCTGTACTTCAAGAAAGATACATAATGTTGATGCAAAAATAAAACGATAAGTGAACTGATAACATAGAAAAGCATGCTTTATCTTTATTTTAGATATGTAATAAAAATTGTTTTTCGAATTTTAATTTCAACTGAATAATTAAATAAGAAACAGCTTTTTTCTTCCTATGAAGATGTTCCATATTAATTAGTTGATTGAGAAAAAAGTACTTTTATAGAAAATAAATGAGTTAATTCTGTAAAATACGAAATAAAATAATTGTTGAAGTATCGGTGACGTACTTAGCCCCCCCCCCTCCCTGAAAACAATAAATGGAAATTTTCACGAAAATTTCCATTTATTGTACATGGTATTAATCAAATGTCAATAAAAATTAGTTATTATGTGTTAATGTACAATAAAAATATTTGATTCCCCCTTCCACTTCAGAAAATCCTGGCTACATCGCTGTGAAGCATACAAGTAGATATCAGGACCCACCTCCTTGCTTCTACAAATATGATAAGCACGTTACAAACGTATCACATCTAACATCAACAATGCCTTTCTGATTAACAAAAGCAGCTGGTTCGGGTTTTAAATTTTTTTCTCCGGCAGTATCAAAAGTAACAACATACTTTCCTTTCAAAATAATCGTTGAATGATTGTTGATTTTTTTGGAATTTATTTTTGACTAATATTTTACACTCAATAAACTTTCGACTTCTTCAATTAACTGAATACTAATGCTGTTATTTTTATACAAGACAATAAAAGGATTTCGTCCTTATATTTATTTTAAAATCGTCGTTCAAATGAGATGCCGACGAAAAGAACATATATGTTGTCTTTTTACAATGACTGTATAACAAAAAAAAAGAAAAAAAAATGAATAATCGTTATATTCTATTAAAGAAAAGAAAAAGATGAGAATATAATACGAACAGAGATAATGTAGACTGACATACAACATTCGAGAGATTTAACACACAAGCACATACAGAATTATGGAAAACAAAAAAAAAACGACAAATAATGAAGAAATCAAGATTGAAGTTCGCCAAACTGTGCACAGCATAATTTACAACGCCAATCACCTTCAGGTGCTTTCGATAGAGGTGGCGAACAGCAGTACATATGATAACCACTATGAAATAAAAAAATTTAATCTATATATTCTCAGTATTCAACCGAAAGACTCACCGATCACAATCGTCACAAAATAAAAGTTCTGAATCATTTTCAGAATTACCACATTCTGTACATGTTTTACATTCCATGCATTGCCATGCATAAGTTTTAACCTGACGAACCATATTAGGAGTAAATTTAAGGCACGTTGGATGTGCAGAACCACCACAATCCTAAAGAAATATAATCTAATAAGAATTCGGCAATCATTTTTTTCTCTCAAATTACTTTGCAAGTTATCATTTGTTCTGGTAATTTAGTTGTTTTGTTTTCTTGTTCATCGCCACCACAGAAATCGCATTGAATACCAGTAGTAATACCTGCTGCTGTAGTAGCCATTGAATTAGGTGGTTTTGGTAGTTGTTGATGTTGCTGTTGGTGTTGTTGTTGTTGCTGCTGCTGATATTGCTTCATTTGCTGCTGTTGCATCATCATCATACGCTGTTGATGCATCATTTGTTGTTGTTGTTGTTGTTGCTGCTGCTGCTGTTGTTGTTGTTGTTGTTGAGAATAATGTGGTACACCACTTGCAGGTGATGAACCAGATAGAGCAGCTACAGTAAGTGGCATTGACGCTGATGGAGGCATTCCTTGATGATATGATTGCGGCGGCATTGGATACATTGGTGGTTGTTGTGGGTGATGTTGATTCATTTGATAAGGAGGTCCCGACATATTCGGAGGAGCACCACCAGGCGGAGGTAAATGTCCACCTTAAATAAATCAACATAGAATTTGTTTTATATCAAGATTATACTTACCAGGATTATTATGTGGCATAGGACCACCGGTTGGAGGTTGATTCGAATACATTGGATGTTGTTGTTGGTCATGAGGTGGATTCATATATTTTGGTTTCATAAGCGTTGGTGGTGCATTCGATGATGATGATGATCCACCACTATCAGCTGTCGAAGGTGTTGTTGGTGATGGTCGATAATCTGTATTTGTTTCTTTATGTTTAGCTAAATGATATTGTAGACCTGGTTTTGTCTTGTAACGTGCTGGACAAAATTCACAGACGAATGGTAATTCAGCCAATGTATATTGTTGACGGCGGTTACCAGTTGGAGGCGTATTATTATTCATTCCACTACTACCAGAACTGCCACCACCTATAAAAATAAAAGCGATGAAGAAAATATTTGTATGCTTTTTTTCTTTTGATGCTTCTTACCACTCTTTCTTGCACCAGTTTGTGACAATCGCTTTGTTGAACTACCACGTTTAGAACGTGTTGTGGTTGCAGACACAGGTGATGCTGGACCACCAGGTGTGCCTGGTCCACTACCACCACCATAATCATCATAATCAAAATCATCGAGATCATCATCACCATCAAGAACATAATTACTTGAATGAAGATGATGATGATTATGCGCTGTATTATGTTGCGGCCAGTGAGGTTGTTGAGGTTGCACAAGACCAGTCATCGGTGGTACCGATGATTGTGATGAATCATCACTAGATCCACCTGTAAATCGACCACCTGACATACTTGGATTTTCAACAGTAGCAATAGCATGAACATCTGCATCTGACATTCCTATAATTCAAAACAAAAAAAAAAGAAATATTAGAAACAATATCTTCAATGCTTTTTATTTTCTTAATAGTACTTACCCAGATCGCCAGCTCGTACAAGAATACGTGGATCATCTTCGTTCAGTGTTGGTATTACTCCATTGACAGGCCCATTTTTAATAGGCGATGGATCAGATGGTTGTTCATTAGTACCATTTACAGTTGTTGCCGATTGAGATTGTGCTATAGAAGATGGTGGATTGGGTCTTTTTTTATGCCACTGTTTTCTAGCGTATGATGCTACTTGATCATGACGAGTTGGCATAAGACGTTGAGTTGGATGTTTCCATAGGTGATTTTGTGTTGGTGTTTGAATGATATGCGTTTGTGAATCAACAAATGGTAAACGCAAACGAATACGTCGTTCACGTAAAAGGCGTGCATTAAATTTATTTACACTTGATACTGCATCCGAATAAGATACTTCCGAACCAAATGCACGCATCACACGTGATGGTAATAAATCAATCATTCTCTGTGAACGACGAAATTTCAAAAACGCTCAAATTTACTAGTACTTCATCGACAGATGACAAACTCTACCTTTGTTTATACTGAGTTCATATACCATTTGATCATGATTTTCATGATGGATCAACCAATCAGAAATTTGACCTCTACACAATAGAGCATGGGATAGAGAGCGCATGCTTGACATTTTCTCTGTGTACCATTGGTGAATATATTATACGAATAGAAAGAAAGAGAGGCTTTTTTCAAGTCTTTGTTACACTTTTTCGCCGTTGTCGATCAGTTTATTCGGATTTGGATAGTATATTTACATAGATTTTTCTCTTCAACTACATACAAGTCATAAGAATGGTGACTTATAGTATAAAGCAATTGATGGGTCTTTGTTCGGATTATGGACTTGATGCACAAGTTCAAAAGATTCTTTTTTCATTGGATTTATGGGTACCTAAAGCAGCTCGGGTACGTTTTATTTTCTTTCTAATCTATTGGACTTTTACTATTTATCAAGTTTTCATAGGAAGTACAAATCGATAATGTTGCACAACAACAGTATGCTTCAGCTACTCATTCTGGCTTCAATCGTGCTAGGTTTGTTATTTTCTAATAGTCCCAATCATATTTATATTCTAATTTTTTTATCTAGATCGCCGACGAGCAATGATAGCACAATAAATATTCGTAATGTCAACAATAGATCGTGTCGTACGTTCGCTTCACGGTCGATGTCCGCTGGTGTTTTTCATAGTTCAATGGATTCAGGAAGTAGTGTATCGGCATGGAAAACTGAGTAAATTCATTTCTATTTTAAAATGTAAATATTTGATGTACTCTTTGTTTGAACAGCACACGTGATTCCAATAAAGCCAATACAACAACAACAACAACTACGTCGTTAATTAAAAAGTCTAGCAATGGACTTATTCTGGATGAAACATCTCAAGCAGGCCAATCACAAGTTAAACTAATGCCTATTTTAGAAAGTGGTGAAAATGAAGATAAATTAAATGAACAACAACCTACTCGAATCAATCAAAAAATTTCATTTAAAACAACAACACTGGATTGGACACCAAATGAGTATGTTTCAATGGCTAGAAAGAGTATAAATGAAATTTTAAATAATTTCTCTTTTAGCAATGAACCGTCAGCCTCAACAACTGCTGGTCGAGCATCGATCGATGCCCTCTTTGAATTGAGTGTCCGTGCTGATTCAGCTCTTAAAACAGCTTTATGTGAAAATGCAGCACTATCAACAAATAGGACACAAACAAATTCGAACGATCGTATAACTCTACGTAAAAGTGTTAGCGTTATGAATCAAAAACAAAAAACTGGCAGTGGTCGTTCATTGATACGTGCTAAATCCGATATGGCTGGTAGTGATGCAAGGTGATTACACATGTTTTTTTATTTTTCGCACAATTGGTCAAAATTTTAGGGCTAACATATTATTTCACCAAACTAAGTTTTGGGCTTAAATCCCAATATCATCTTAAATAACGATTCAAGTTGTCAAAATTCACCATAGTATTCATACATAATGCTTATATAATTTTGAAAGAAAAATCTAAAAAGAAAACAGCAACCCTTTCATAGTCTACCTATGAAATGTTTCTGATAGAGAATTTGATCATCTGTGCAAACCATAATCAGTTTCATTTAAGTATATAGACTATTGCGAAGTAGAAATATTTCTACTGTTTCTATTGGAGAGAAAAATAAATTACGTGCTCCTTTTCTTTTTATTTTAGTCGTAAACGTGCTTTATCACACATTGCACGCGCTTCGGAACGTTATTTTAGTGATGAGCCGAAAATCATCGCTGACATTGAAGAACTTGAGCTTGAATATTTATTTAAGTAAGTATTAGAAGAAATTGTAAAGCTTTTCGATTTTATTCAATACATTTTTTTTAATTTCAGTTATATTCGTTATTTGAAAACATTTCCTAAATATACTAATATGACTGAAGATGAAATTTTACAAGAAGTCGAAAGTGATCCACATACATTACGTCAACGTACCAAAGAAATTTTAAAAGGGAAAATGTCTGATTCTTATGCAGTTTATATTGCTAAATATCCAATAAAGTATGATATACACTTTTAAGCAAACATCGCATGATCTCATGTGTTTTTTATAAATAGAAAACAACGTCGACGTGAACATCCAACATCACCAAATAAATATCGTAAATGTTCACGACGCTGTTTCGATGGTCAACTACGTACATGGCGTCGTAATCTACATCAATTCGACGAAGAAAATGAAAACAATAAGCAAGAATTAATAGACACGATTGAAATGCCTAACGTCGATGAAATAAATCAACCAATGTAACAAATAAAGTCAAATGTTAAATATTATTTCATTTTCTTTCTGTCTAGTTCTATCGATGATCAAGCTACTAGATAAAAACGTGGAACAAATGATCGATTTTTATTCATCAAACTGTTCTCTTTGATATGCAAACATTTTTTTTTCTCATATTTAGTCAGATATATACTTAGATACTTGAAAGAAAAAAGAAGAATATATGATACGGTGTACTTCCTATTTTTTTTGTTATCGTTCCACGTTTATGTACAGCTTGTTTGCTCGTGTATTTGTATGTTTGGTTGCTCTTGTTCTAACCTATTTTTGCACTCTTGATATGATGGATTTTTTTCTTACATAATACAAATACAGACGGTTCTTAGCATTTTATCAAATTTGTTGATTGGAATAATTTAGAGAGAAAAAAAACAGAAGATAATATAACACATTCAATGAATTCCTACTATTAAGATTAGTTAACTATTCTTGTCGAATATTTCACTGGTTACTTCATACTGATGTATTATAGATGTGCTATAATCTGCGGATTTGGATTTAAAAGCACGTTTCAAATGTATGAAATCGTTGTTGTGATGTGTCTCTATCAGATTATTCTAATCAATGGTATGATGCAATCTAACCGAGACGTGTGTTAGTGCGTGCGACAACCATGTGATCGGAATAATCTTGAATAGCTCTTTGTCTCCTGATAAAACATATCTTCACAGCTAAAGAATAATTCGATTCCTATTGACGATCGATTACGTTGTAAAAATTGTTTCGTATGAACCGCTTTGTTCAATAGCGTAATATGAACTTATTGAAAAACAATGTTTAATTTCTGACAAGATCACGTATCGTTTGTTAAATAATGGACCTGAATCGAATGAGAAACAGTATTTTTTTCCTCTAATTTGATCCGTTTGCTTTTTATGGTATCACATTTGGCGTAATGTTAATCGTTTACATAATCGAACATGAAAAGCTTATTAAAATTGTAAGATACTGTTTCATTAACAATGATACAGTATTTGTGCTTAATATTCTGATATATGTTACGTAAATGTTTACAAACAGACGTAAACTATGATTATATTCATAACAATCAAGAACAATTCCGTTTTGAAACGACAATACTATTGATTCTTACACTTTTCTTTGTTCTTACTTTTTCTCTCTCTTTTGTTTGAGACAAATTCAGTTTCTCTCTATTTCTCTTTCATTATAGCAATAGACTGATAAAGAAAGGGATCATATGTATAAATATATATACATATACATATATAGCTTTTCCTCTCATTATATGATCCCTGAATAAACTAATCCAAGCTGACTGTCGCACGCATTTGCACGCTCCGCCTCTGCCTCAACTAGTATATGTACTCCTGTATTGCTCGCATACATTGTAAATACGTGTAGTCATTCCACATAGCATCAGTTGACCTCATACAAGTGTGTGTTATTCGATCCAAGCGTATACATTTTTTTGTCTTTTGTCGAACAATACTAGATGATGGTGATATATATCTATCATCAATAGTGATGATAATAAACATAATTTGTTCGATCATTCTTCAAGTGACATTATGAACGTAACATACTTCCGGTGGCTACTGATTGTAGTCACTAAAATGATGTATTTTGTCGATGCCAATTGGATTACAGGTAAAAAACATATGTTAAAATGAATGTTTAAAAAAAATATATCCATCGTTTTGTTTTAAGGTAATCTTTGCTGGTCGATGCCATGTATGAACGGAGGTTCATGTTTTGGTTCAGCGTATACTTATCTTTGTGTGTGTCCTATGAATTACAGTGGAGCTCTATGTGAAAAACGACTTGGTATGAAAGTTTATTTTAAAAGAGAATATATTTTAGCAATTGTTCTGCTTAGGTATTTGCCAAGAAAGTCCTTGTGGTAATCGAGGTTTATGTGTTGAAACAGGTTTAACTTCTTTTGAATGTCGATGTTATTTTGATTATGTGGGTCCTTTATGTGAAGAACATGTACCGAAAGATGATCCATCCGTATGGTCATGTAAGTAAACAATACGTCGACCTATCCTTTATTTTTTCCCATATGATAATCACGTTTTTCTTTCGTGACTTGCAGCACTTATTCCTGTACATACACGAGTTCTTTTCGATATACTACAAGAAGCATATCGTTTAAAAAATAGTGGTAAATCAACAGGTACTCCTGTTAGTGACCGATTCAATGCGACGAATCTATCAAAAACAAGTAGTACACCACTGCTTGATACTACATTACCAACGTCGTTGAAATTAAATGTTGTTACTGAACCAGGTGCCACAACTGAACAAGAAAATGTTATACGAGCTGAAGATATTCAACTTGAAAAAATATTTCCCGAAATCAGCACGGTATCACCAACGAAAATGTACAAGCAAGATACTACAGAAATAACTTCTCAAACATTTCAAACAACCGAAGCCAATACATATAATAATGAAACAAATATGACTTCAAAGACACAAATGTTTACAACAGAAAGTATCAAAACAACCTTATCACCTTTAATGACGGTTGATGACATGTTGACAGTATCATTAGAACACAATCAAACTAACCCTTTGAATATCACCGAAAGACAACAGTTCATTAATACTACTGAAAAAAACAATAAAATGATAACTTCCACGACTTTACCAGGATCAACTTACAACAGTGATAATAATATTACAACTCCTTTTACCCATGAAATTATACGAAACTCAACAGAACAAATCAATAACAGCACTGATTCTAACAATTTAATTATGAATACTACTTCACAAACTATGAATGATACTTCGTATGAAACAAGTAATTATTCATCGATTCAAAATTATAGTAGTCAATTCAATTCATCAGAACAAACATCATTTCCAACTAAAACTACAACAATGCAATCGTTAATAACTGATAAATTAATCGATATGCTTAATAATTCTCAATATGAACGTGATCAATTTCTTTATCAATTATGTCAACAACTTTTATCTCATATTTTACCTGATGCATCATCATTATCATCGCCAAAAGCTGTTGAAGCAGCTTTAACATCAGCATCAAACTCATCATCTGGTAACTACCCCGTAAATGAGCTTCTTTCTTGGATCAAAGAGCAAATTAATTCATCGTCATCATCAATAACAACGACAACAACAACAACAAAAACGACAACTCCTGCTACGACGACAACGACGACAAAACCAACGACTACAATTCCTACTACGACGACAACGATGACGACAAAATCAACGACGACAACTCCTGCTACAACAACGACAATGACGACAACAAAACCAACAACAACATCTCCTACATCAACAACACCAAGGCTATCATTAGTAATTCGTGAGAAAAGTTTATCAACAATGTCATTAGAACGGTTGGACATGGATGAAGTACTTCATCCAGTAAACAATAATGATGATGGTGAACGATAATAATAGTGAAACATATTATTAAATCATTACCATCAAAAGCGAACAGTCTGTTTGATTAGTTTTCTTTTATATGAAATATTTGTTTAGCGTTCAATGTTTAACATATCTCTTTTTTGTTTTGTTTTTTTCATCTTTAATAAAGGAAATAGGAGCACAACAATTCATATTAGATTTAATTGTACTATGAGTGATAAGTATTCATCGGAACAATTAAGATCTTTTGAAATGATTCTTTTTGAATATTGACAGAAGCAAAGAAATTTGATCTTTGTTTAAATACTCTTCTAACTTATACCACGTATCATGCGCATGCTGTAATAATGTTAAATCATCGCAAGTAATTCATTCGACATGAATAGAAAATAAAAATTACATCAGATGTTTCTGCATAGAATATTTCATAACTCCGATTGATCGTAATATAATAGGTTTTTCGTTAAATTTGAATCGTTCTTTAATTTTTGTCTTATCTAGCTGCGAAAAAAATTAAAGAGTTAACGCGTTCCAATCGTGAATTGATATTTTTAAGAAGTCATATTAATTAGTTTTAAATCTGATTATAGGAAAATTGTATTTCTGTTTGACTATGATTCAGATAGATTTTAAAAGTTTTATTTAGTTCGAATATTTGTTCACGGGTACAAATACTTCTATTTTCTTTTGTTTCCACTTATCAAAATAGCCCACAGATGACAGTTTCTTTTTTTAACAATAGCTTTTCATCTGAGTATCTGCCTAATTCGAGTTCGAATATAAATCAAATTTTCCAAAAATCCTATTGTGCACAGGCAAAAGATAAAGATAAATTTTATTCTATTTATAAACTTTATAATTCGAATTGAGGCTGTAATATAAGTAAGGCAAAAAAGCAAAAGTTTAAAATTTATCCTAATTTGAAAATTTAATAATTCGAATCGATTGATACTTGTAGATTTTTTCTATCAGAAACTGGGTGTAACTGTCTAATGCGGTGCAAGCGAGATTTTTGTGGCTCCCACCTCCCCATTACAGACATTAGTTTAAAATTGTGCTAACTAGGAACTTGAATAATTAGGTTGCTATTTCTTTCTTTTTTAATTACGGGCTACACGAAAAAAGCAACGCTTGCCCATTACAGACCATAGTAGCTAAGGTACCATTACAGACCATACTATGTATTCAGACCAGTGATATGTATAAAACGTTAAGTATCTACATAGGACGAATTGAAACCGATTAAAAATTTTTAGTTAATCGCAATCGAATTTTAATATTTTTAACTGATTGGTTTTGTCATATTGCCATCTAAGTTCAAAACACTTTATATCGCAGCTTCAAATTTAGGCTATCTGTGAGATTTTAATAATTATATTTTGAACATCAGAAATGTAAAAATCGTAAAAGTTTGTTGTAAACATTTGACACTCAACAAGAAGTGCTCGATTTCTATGTTTATGCATTAATTTAATTAACAAGTGATTATTGACTAAAATTGATTAACAGGTAAGAAAATATTGCATGGGATTTATAGTTAATAGTCTTAGCTAAAATATTTGATTTTTTCGATTTTGATCGTTAGGAATTCGTTAGAGAACCATGAAAGATTTGCTATTTTTTCTACAGAAGGTCACTAAATGCTGAAAGAAACTTGTACGCTGAAAATCATGAAGATTTAGACAGTAGTTGAACCAAGATAATAGAAAGATTTTGTACAGTCTTTCTTCACTTTAGATCATTATTCTGATAGGACTTAAACCATTCTTATGCAATACCTTTTTCTCATATACAGCAAAATTGTACTTGGGCTCCGTCTAAATACGCTATCTCGTGATACTGCAGAAGTAGCCAATTTTCAAAGGTGAACAGACAACCAAAGAATACAGAGTAGAGATATTTAAGCTTTCATTACAGAAATAGATCAGCGTTTCCGGTTGAACTGTGATATACTATTATGTAAGAATTTATTGCTAGATATTTAAAATTCTTAATTTATGTGAACTTCTAGTTGAGTTTCAGATAAAAAGCATCCCATCGAGTTCCTCAAATGTGATATTAGCCTTTTTTTGTTCAATTGAAAACATGTCACTACATTGTTTTTTTATTTTGAATCTAATAATAAAATATTCTCTTTAATGGTCCTTAATGAATAATTGAAATTATAAACACTTTTACTTAAAGATTTCTAACGTGAGGAAAAATAAAGGGGCTCTTGAGAATTTTGTCGAGGCTGCTCCAATGAATAGTCGTGATAGAAATGAGAGAAGAAATTGCAGTAAATTGTATGTTAAAATGGAATTTCAATAAATATCACTCGGTAAAAAAAGAAGCAGGAAACACATATAAAACCAGGTCGTAGTTAGAATTTTATATTAAAACGTCTCTATTTAGCTTACTCTCACCATTCTACTGGAAATATATACCACTGTAACTTAGATAATCTCAGAATGCATTGAAATAGATTCAAGTTGTAGAAATGGATTAAACTTATGACTCTTGTAGGGCTCACACACGGAAGCTTAGTTATAGATTAAGAAAACGTTTCCAAGGAATGTCAATCGGACAGATCAGATGGTGTCGTTTAGGCAAACTGAATCTCATCAGCACTGTTACTATGAAGTAGAGAAACTTGCAAAATTTATCATCAGTGTTTTATTAGGAGCTAGTTAACTTTTGAGTCAAAGGAGGAAGCCATTTATAAGGATTCTTTTCGGGCTTGTCCCTCGATTGTATAGATATAAGATGGAGCCGCAAATTTCCCATAAGTTCTATTCTTAAAAAAATAATATCAGCTCACTAACATCTACTGTTTCTGATACTTTACTTCTCCGCCGCTTAAGTATTCAGTTTGAATGAAAAAGTCGACTTTGAAAGTTTTCCAATGGTATTTAGAAACGGTAGACGCTGGTGAGCTGATAGTATTTTTTAAGAATAGAACTTATGGGAAATTTGCGGCTTCACCGTATTCCTATACAATATAGGGATAAGTCTGAAAAGCATTCTTATAGATGACTTCCTCCTTTGACTCAAAAGTTAACTAGCTCCGTATAAGCACTGATGATAAACTTTGCAAGTTTCTCTACTTCATAGTAACGGTGCGGATGAGATTCAGTTTGCCTAAACGACACCATCTGATCTGTACGATTGATATTGCTTGAAAACATTTTCTTAATCTATAACTAAGCTTACGTGTGTGAGTCCTACAAGAGCTAACATTCATGAATCACAATTGTGCGAATTGTTCTGCAACAAAATCAAAATTTTAATCGATTAGAATTTTGATTTCGTTGCAGAAAAATCCGATTACCAATTTGGATTATCCCCAGATAGAGGTGTAAGTCGAGCGGCTAAGCCGCCGCCGCCGCCAACGAACCAAAAGATTTCTAATTTTTGAACCGTCCCCGTCATATAAGCAGAAATACTAAATTTTTGAATATTTTCGATACTTAGAAACAGTATTTTGGATTCTTCTAATCCAGCTGTTAATAAGAACGTTCTATATTATCATTTTTCCCTTTTTTGTTACATAATTTTCAAAACTACGAAAATTTTTTAAAATAGTATCTAAAGATTTTGAGCCGTCGCCGACGCCAACCGAGGCGTTAGCTTACACCTCTCTGCCCAAAGGTTTTCGAAATTATAATCGATTTTAATCCCTAAAAATTTTTACTGGGCTATAAGGAAATAAAAATTTTCTCTTCCAATTGTCAACAATAAATTAATATAAATTATTGAAAAAAAGAAGAATTCTGTAAGAGTATTCATTTAAATATTAATTAATGGAAACCCCTTTTTTTTCGTGTCAAAAGGTATGAAACTAAAAGATATTTTTACAACACTTCATAATAAAATTTACTCATGAGAACTGCATAAAACATATAGACTGGTAATTAGAATTATTGTTGATAATTTAGGGTTATAATCTCGAAAAATGCTTGAAATACCCGAAAGAGTCTCACATTTGCTAATCTGATGAGAAATCTTGTTAGTTAATAACTGAGGTGAAAACAATACTTTTGCTCTTTGAAGAAAGTAGTTCAATATGTTAGTGTCCCATCTCGCACTTTTTTCTGTCACTACCGCCGGTATACCGCAGTACTCATCATAACCGGTGGTAGCGCTTATAAGCATCGGTCTCGGCTAAAAAGGCTTCCAGAAACCGTTTTTGTTGTCAAATCTTGATTTATTCCGGAAAAGAATTCGAACTAATCGAAAACAAAACTATTTCAGAATATATTTTGCGAATTATTATTTTTACAGCGACATCTTTAATAAAATATTTATCTCATAAATGGGACTGCCCAGGTGAATGAATCCGACTCTCTGACAGAATCCGATAGGATTCCTGAGCGCGGACCTATTGTCGGTTCCGACGGAAAAAATCATTTTCTTATTCACGATCAAATAAGCATTTGAGCCATCAGAGTGCAAGGGTGATTCGTTAGAGTTGGATCCCGTTAAAGTCCAACATCGGATCCGATTGATCCAATACCACGGATCCGACTGTAGGTCCGTGTCCAGGAATGCCATAAGATTTCGTCGGTTCTATTGAAACCCATATGGTATTCGGTATATTCACTGTCTGACCCTTGTCTGAATCCGATAGGATCCTACTGCCGGAATGATTCTCGTGGGTGATTTGACATATGTGGCTACTACAGACAGCTCAGGGACATCGACATTATCAGAGTGCACCAAATTCAACGCGATTCTGTCGGTTTCAACAGACTTAAAAAATAATTAGTCGTTTCTATACTATACAAAAGGATGCATCACTTTGATGAAAAATCGTCGGTATACCGACGGTAGAGCGCACATTATGCCGAACGGCGAACCGTCGGTATACCGCCGATTTTTTCCGGTGTGAATCACATGGGATTTTATACTAATAAAAAGGATGCATCACTTTCATGAAAAATCGGCGGTATATCGACGGTAGAGCGCACATTATACCGAACGGTGAACCGTTGATGTACCGCCAGTTTTCTTCCGGTTTGAATCACATGGGATCTTGTTTGGATTAGACGAATTCGTAATTGTAGCGTAAAACTAAAGAATATTTTGTGGGCCAACTGTTTGACATCGGTCTATTGGGAAATAAGATAGAAGCAACATGACAGAAGACAATTCTTAATTTAATACCAGTGTGAAATTTGTTCATTCACATCAGATTTGTTAAGAGACTGCATCGCTCTGGAAAGCAGAGACTTTATTAGACAATAGGCCGCATCGTTTATTATTATTATTTTCACTATCTATATATAAATAAAATTGAAGCCTAAATAGGGACACAGTTGGAAACTGTGTACAAACCCATTGAATGATATATTCTTAGTAAACACAAAAAGAGTCAGAATATAAAAGAACAATATTCAATATCGTAAGTAAAGATAAGTTTTTACCAATATTTAGATGTTGTTTAACCAAGTAGAAAATACATGTACAGTAGATTGTCTTTAAAATAGTCAAGTCGAAACTATTCAAATAACTTTTCTAATCGAATTAATAGAAAGACACGACCATAGATTGATTATTGATGAAAAGTAGAAAAGAATATAATAGAAGTGAGAGGAATAATTCAGTTGCATAGATGATGACGTAGAGAAAAAAGTGAAATATTATATATATATATATATATATATATGTGTGTGTGTGTAAGAATATTTCTTTTTCATATTGATTCTCATTTAAGATACATTCCTAAAAGAAGACGAAGCCAATTACGATTATAATATGCATGCATCATATATATCTATGTTGCTTGCTTTAATTATATTATTTGCAAGTACATCATCAGCTTATCGGATTCGTTCATATTTAAATGAACAGCAAGAAGAATACTTTCCATCAGATGCTGTGAAAGAGACCATTCCATTAGAAGAGAATATCATTCTGGTAAAATACTTTTTGATGCCACTGCATCGAGCCCGTGATGGTAAGTTATACACTGATTTCTATGGCGATAAATTCTATCGTGTACAGAGAAGAATATCTTTTTTCTTGTATCGTTATGTGACCTTTCTAGTTGACTGTATAAATAACAAAGATTATCTATACTGTATTTGTCTTATTTCGTTTTCCGGTTGTTTTTGTTGCTTTTAAAATGAATCGTTCTGACGATATTGATAAAATAAAAATGATGCTAAGGTACATAAGAATAATGTATTATATTGACTTCTTTTTAGTTATAAAAAAAGCAGAATTTATCTTTTTTTACAATGAACAAATTTCTCTAGTCTTCATCCGTCGCATTACTTTTAATCAAGTTCAGAATCGTGAAGTTAACCTTACGCAAAGTTCTAACAATTTGACTATTCAAAGATTACATATAGATTGAAGCGACCACACTATTGATGCTCCATGATTCTGTTCGTTCTAGATATGTTTCACCCACCCTCAAGGCTGATTTAAAAATCTTGATATGCGATCATCATCTATTTTTTGGAGCATAGATATTCATAGAATGCTATAGTCGTCAATGTTCAGATAGAACTAAACTGATGATCTAGGGAACGCCCATCTTTCGAATTGCACAATATAGATAAAAGACTGCCGCGTTTGCAACGATCGTTGAGTCAGCGATCATTCAAATCTACCGTCTTATCGATTATCATCAGTAACAGTTGAAATGACTATTTCTAAAGCTTACAAGTTCTATGAATAAAAGCAATTCAATGAGATAGTTTTTTTTCTCAATGCTATCTAAATGGATCATTTTCGAGTCGACAAAAATGTTAAAACGCAAGAAGACAAAAGTATAAAGGAATGTACGCACGTAAGTGACTCAGCTAGCTAGGCAATTATCTATAAATATGCATACAATAATCACAGGAAAAAAAAAGAAACACGAAACACTACTTGTCCTTTAGGAAATCCTCCATAATATATATTATGTATGAGTTTGAATAGATGCAGTGTGATCACTATAATTACAAACCGAAGAAAAAACAATAAACTATTTGCAACATATAAATAATAGATATTTCTAATTTTTTAGAAAGAATGCGCCGTGGTTGGGGAAGTGGATGACGATGCCAATTGGTTAGTAATGGTGACTGAGCTTTAGAGAAGATGCATTTTAATCTGATTTTTCTTTGAATTTGTATAACATTATATTTACATTTATTTATCAATGATCAATAAAATAAATGGCATTACATTTCCTTTTGCCAGTCATCATTTTGTTCAATCAATCATCGTATTTTTATTGTCAGAAATATTATTTTATCTTTTTCTTGCTGTAAAAGTAAAAATAAAAAATAAATGAATTTTATGTCTCATGTTCAATTGTCGATAGCATTCATGGATATCTAACTTCAAATATTAGGTTTCTTCTTTTCAATATTATTTTTTGTCAAATTCAGTGAATATAGGTTTAACTTGTATTACTATATTTCGATTGCTTATCAAAATATGAAAACATAGGCACGAGCAACTGGCTTGACGTACAAGTGAAATGTCATTATCAAACGTGAATATTTTTATGTAAATTTGAATAGCATTTTATGGGGAAAATCTTTCAAATGAATATTTCGCTTTGATTCTAGATCATATATACATTATGGACACTCGAATAAGCTAAGAATACCTAACGAAGTAGTTCATGTTCTTCAACTTATGAATATAGAGAAATGGAACTGTTAAAATAATTAGGTTGCAAATGAATTCTGTATTTACTTCATGGAAAATCATTTTTGCGATACTGACTTCATACCGTTTGGTAGAAACAAACATCTGTGAGAAGCAGTTTTCTTGTAAATAGTCTTAATCTTTTGATTTGCAGCTATTGTAAAAGAATATACTTATCATATTAACAACTGTGTGCCGGTGCCAAGCTTTAAGCCACACTTCAAAAATTACTTTTTTCTGATTTTCTGTAGGAGAACCTAAGCATTTATTGTAAAAATACTATCAACGTGCAATATATCGGCAAGGACAAAACCAAGGACACGAAATCTTGTTTTAGAATACCTACAATTTATTTGGCCTTCATTGTCTGCAAAGTCTCAACTGAAAAGTAATCACTCAATGAAAGAACTGCTCTCATTAACATTCATTCAAGTAAAAGAATTAAAAAGAGAACGATGTACTACGGGTGGGGAGGGGGGAGGGAGTTTATGTGCATGTTTCACGCATCAACGAGAAGGTTATATTCATTCTTATACATCAGAACATGATGAATCCTATAAAAAGTACTGCAATCTTTATTTAATAGCATCTAGTATATATTGTAAATAGTTTATAGAATATGCGTAGAAATATTGTTTCTTTTATTCAAAAGTTATTGATCGTATGCGGTTGATATGTTGTCCTTCTTGATTCTTTCGACTTTAACTTCACAGTAAGAATAACGATGCGTTTTGCTTGTTGGCACTGATGAGTCGCTACTATTCCGATTCGGACAGTGAATATATTAATCATCGTCGGCGATCCAATAATGTACGTGGATCTGGTTGGCAATCACCATTGCCAACATTGACAAAAACTGGTGGCATCCCTTCATCATCGTCTTCCACCTCTATAATACCCATTGTTGTAGAATCACCGTTTGGTCTAAAAAAATACGATTATTCTATTGATACATCTCAATATGGTCGTTTAATTATTACTGCATATCGTCGACGAATTCCACCATCTGATTATCGGTCAACAAACAATAAAAATCATATTGCTATACAAACATTTTCAATTCCATCTGATGCTGATGTTGATCATTTACAGTCTCATATCGAACGTGATACAAATCGTTTAATTATTGAAATTCCTCGTCAGAAGCGTGCACACATTCGTACACCTCGTGCACCCAATGTTAACAATGCAAGTCATGCGGGTAGTCGTTTGTTACGCTCACCAGATATTGAACGTATGTTAACATCACCAACAACTGCTCCACAATTAATACGCGATGATCAAAAATCTAGTGGAAAAATTTCTAGTAATAATCGAAAACTTGAATATCGTATTGATTGTCGAGGCTATACAGCGGATGAACTTGAAGTATTTATTCAGGGAAGAGATTTAATTGTACAAGGTAAAACTAATAGATTAGCATCACCAGATCCCACCCAACAACGTGTATCAAAAAAATTCTCACGTAAAATAACATTGCCGCGTACAGTTGATTTAACAAAAGTAGTTTCTTATTTGGAACATGGAGAATTACGTGTTGAAGCCCCATTGAAACGTGGGGTTTATTATAATGATGAAGAAATTATTATACCTGGACCGCCACCACAACCAACAGCATCATCATCTTTAACAGCAAATCTTCCAAATGCTACATCAATGTTAAACTTTGAAAATCGTGTTCGATCCCCCTCACCATACTATCGTTATCATAATCGACACAATGAATGTATGAGCCGTCGTCGAGATTATAATAGTTCCAATAGTCGACAATTATTAAATCCAACACGTCGTGTACGTTCAGTTGAAGCTCTTCGCTATCCTCTTTATAAGTCACCGCGTGAACTTGATGAAGACGATTCTCAAGAACAAGATAATCAACGACGACGAACTGTTAACTGTGAACGTCATAATGCCACCGATCGAAAAGAACTAGATCAACAGTCTATATACAGATCGGTTCATTCACCAGCAACTACAAGCATGGGTCATCATCGTAACTATCCGCCGGACGATGAGAACTATTTGAAATTTTGATATACTATAAATCTTTTTCTTTTTTTTATCGTATAGGCTCATAATAATATGAACTCTGAAAGCAAAAGCAACAAATCATCACATTTTATTTTGGATGAAAAACTTGTGTATTTTCGAAAGCTTTTTTTCTTCTCTATGAATTAGAATGCTCTTTTATCTATGATTGCATTACCTTTGATGTGTAAATCAATAAGAATTTGATGAGTATTAATAATATGTACTAAGGATTGAAAATGTTTTGCACATAAAGAAAAAAGAAATTGTATTAGAACTATGCTTAGACATTATTATACTGTCTGTATTCAATATTTAACATAGAAAAGTCATACGCATATTTTTGAAAAATGATATTGAAGTTGATCATAGAAGCTAATTGTTCTCTATTAATTAAATACACATTTCTTTAACAAAAATTTGAGTGAATATTAGGCAATTTTCAAATTAATCGTGTTTCTGAACGGAAATTATTGAAATTGTTTTTCTGTAAAGTATTCTAGAATCAATTGAGGCAATTAATTTAATGACGTTTATTGATTTTAATGTAGAATAGTACTGGTAACACTGTACTCAAACGGAAATTTTATTTTATATGATAAGATATATTCATGAACATCAAATCATGTTGGATTCAGCAAGGATGTGATTATTATCATATACTGTCCCACATTGATTAACAATATTGAACGAATTGATAGAACATTCAAATTAGAAATTTAAGAGGTAGATAACACTTTTTACGACGTTTCGATCGTTAGAACTATATTTTTACAAGTAATACCAATTCTAATATAAAAGAGAAATGTAATGTCAATTTACTCCTGGTTCTCGTTTTATACTTCTCTATGTTACTAAATATCATAACAGCATAGATAACAGACTTTTTCATTATCTAAATATTTCAATTTTCTTCATTTCAATATAAATACATGGTTCGATTCCTTCTCCCGGCTCGGTGTCTTCGGAGTCAAGATATACCGTATCGGAAGAATAAACAAAGGAAGAACAGCAATGCACGCCAATCACGTCATCACTGCCTCGATTTCGATTTTCGTTCTATTCGATTTCTCTTCCTTGTCATTCTTTCTCTGCTTGTTACCGTCGTCCTATCTGTTGACTTGTTTCGTAAGCGTCCGCAAAAATTGTACAAAAATTTGAGTGTCGGCGTGGGTGTTGTCCTTACTATTACAATGATCAATACTCACACAGCTACAGCCACGCCCAACAAACTCTACCTATTTGACAACCTTGAGGGTGTGCAACAAATAGAAAACTCAACAGGTACTATAGAAACTGGCATTTATACAAGGCAGACATAGACTCAAAAGAAACAGTCATTTTCATTGATTACAGCGCATAAAATAAGTTTCGCTGCATTTTTTAACAATTTTTTATCATTCGTTGCTAGCTTCAAAAACAAATGACGGACATCTTTGTCAAGAAATTATGTACTCAAGACGCTATATGAAATAAAGCTATGATGTATTGTCACTAGATTGATTGTATAATGTAAAATATGAGGTTTTTTGACGACAGACAATAGTCTGACTCGCTTGCATTCCATCAGATAAACTTTTCTATATTTTAGTGGTAGTAGGTAACTATCTCTGTTTTTTCGAATAGCTAACTTCATCATATATATACTTCACTCTAATCTTTGCAATTGTTTTTCATACATAAACCAGTGGATAGAAAATAATTGAACTTTCATAGTAAATTTTTGTAGGATTTCGAATGAAATAATATTGTGAACCTGAACTAAATCAGATCTAGTTTATCTTTAAAGTATTTTTCGCTGATCAGAAATATCGATATATTGTCAGTTTCTGATGCACGTATTCCCTTGTACAATGAACTAGCTCAACTAACAGCAGAATATCTTGTTGCGCAAACGATTCCTGTCTTGTCAAAAACAAGAACGTTTCTGATTTAGTTTGAAAATAACACAGATATAATTCAAATAGAGAAATGCAGTCAGATGTTTTTTTCCACAATTCAGCATTAGTATACTTGTTGCTATTTTTTTAAATCAAATCACCACACAAAGTGTCCGCATTAATCGTAGAGCCTAAGTCTCAGTTCCCGGCTAAGAACGACAGTTAAAAATTTATCTTCTGCAAATCAAATCAAATGTAATATTTAAAGCGTTAATAAAATCAAAACCTACTATCACGATTGACTTACTTGAAAAATAAGGAAGTTATTTATGAGAAAAACAAAAAGATAGTTGCATGCATTCTCGTCTCATTTTTTACTGCGTATTTTATATTTGATCAAGTAGAATGCGAATATATTTATTATATAAAGCAATTGATTTAGATTATCGAATTGCACAATACGAAAAAAAAAACAAACAAGTACAAATAAGATAATAATATATATATATCATACATATTGTTATTAAAAACTGAATATTTTAATAAAGAAACTATATTTTATCTGCTCTATTATATGATTAAGATTATATATCAGATTCGTCGATAGAAATAAAGAACCATAATAGTTGCTACCATTCCACTGAGGAAGATGCCAAGTGTTGTTAAACGTGATTGAGGTACAGCGTCACGTAAGATAACTAACTAAATTTTTGAAGAAAAAAAGCAGTAAGTAAAGTAAAAAACCTAGGATGTGAAAACTTACCCAACCACCTTTGCCAACAATCCATGGAGCAACAAGTTCTTTGACAAAGCGTACCGTCCAATCAACAAGAACCTGTAAAATTGATGCTGGCTGATCTCGAAGTGACTAAACGAAAAAAGTAATGCAAATCATTTCATTGCTATTGGTATTGTTCAAGCATACTTTAATGATAAGTTTATAGGTAAAAAAAAATAGTGTTACAATTCGTCCCCAATTATAAATGCCATCACAAAATAGTTCTTTAGCAACATCGCTAAATGTTTCATATGGACTGTTAACAGGCACTTGATCAACCATGCTAAGAAAATAAATAAATAAAAAAATATATATATCAATAAAATAGTTTGTTTTCTATGTAGTAAGAAGCAAGTATAGCAATTGATAGAAAGCTGCGAATGTTAGGATAAAAGGCAAGCGAGGTAAGGTATCTAGCCTAGTTTACCTTTTAAATGCTTATTCTGAAAATAGTTCTGTCATAGAAATATTAATAAAAAGCTGAGTCGACTTATTGTATACCTTTTAATTCTTTGATCAGCATCGAGTTCATCACCAATCATACGTAATCGACGAGCAATTTGTTGAATTTGTCGATATTGTGGAACTAGATTAAGTAAGAACAATTAATGAGCAATTGAAAAATAATATTATAAGAAATTCTTACGTGCAGTAAGATTAATATCAATAATAGGTCTCATCAAGCCCATATCGACGCCATCTTCTGTTGCTCGTTCAATAATAAATTCTTCTAATATATACCGAGTTTCTTCTGTTACATCTTCTACACTTTTTCGATACGGTGAACTATCGTTATAATCAGTTTCTATTATTAGAAAACAAAAAGAAACGAGATATGTTGACACTTTCGAAGCTGTCAAAAAACGAATACATACGAATATAAGGGACATGTTCAAATCGCATGGCATATGGATCAGGTTGATCTGCCGTAGCGATTTTAGTGCGAGTTTTGGTTGGCATCTTAATTGGTGATCACAATGGTTCTACACTTGTTCAAAGATCGATCTAACCAACAATGGTGTTTTTTCACTACATAAGTGATCGATAACAATGCAATTGAAGATTATCCAATAGAATGAGTAATACATCCAATGTTTTTTTTATGAAAACTTTTTATCTATTGGAAATATATAAAAACATAATACAAGACAAACTACTAGAGAAATGATTGTGTAAATTACATCTGATAGATGTCACTTTTTAACAACGAACAGAAATCTATATGTATTTGTAATTTAAGACGGACTATGATACAGCATGGTATCATTGATTTTTATTTATGAGACTAATATATTCTAATATTGAATAGGACAAAGTTGAATCCATTCCGTATAATTTCACTATCGATTAAATCATTCATTAGTAGAAATGGTTTCATCAAAGAAAAATTGTATAGACAAGAAGTATACAATATTTGAAAAACTGATAAAAATAATTTTCATGCAAGTAATTTTTCAAGAACTAGTGAATTCTAAATCTATAAAAACAACTGATATTATCTACTTCGAAACTAATAAATTCATGTTATTAAGAGTCTTGTGACGCTCCTATAGCGTTTTTCATTGTTGACTACCATCAAATTTTCTCTTCCGAAGTCTCTATTGATGAGCAAAGAAGATTTCTTTGGATTTAAGCAATTATTTTGAATTACAGATAAAAGTTTTATCAGCCATTGATTTTAATATAAAAGAATTCAAATGAATCTATATACCAAGAACAACACGAAGTAATTATTTTATTTCCTTTAATAGAAAAAATTGAATGTCAAACACAATTCATCTAATATAAGATTCATGAGATACAATACATCAATAATCTTTATTATGAGTGAAAACTATTTGATTTTCGATAACACAAACTTTTACGATTAACTTTTTCGCTAAAAGGAGCGAACAAGTAAAAAGGAGTCGTACTATTTTTCTCAATACATGTACTTAATTCCCGCAAGCGGGAATCATAACTTTTCTAGTAGAATAAGAGCGAGTTATGTGCATAACTTTTACAATCATACAAAGTCATTCACCTTGATAAAACGTGCTTATTTTCAACATGGCATATTCTACGTTTGTTGCCATGTGCCCTTAATTGCAATAAACTCGTAATTTCTTTTTTCGTTCAAGACAATGACTTACAGTTATGAGTCAAATCATTGAAAAATAATTGGATCAACTTCGTTTAATGCACACGTTGAAAATCTCAGATTATGTTGACTTTTCCAAAAAAGTACATCTAATAATTAATGCTTGTGAGTACAAGCATAATCTTTTAAAATTATCCACTCGTGTACGGAAATAGATAATGAACACTCAAGAGTTTATTAGCTTGTGCAAAGGTGAAAGGACTCATGAATATGAAATCTACAACAATTGAATGGTACGTAATTTATTGAATTGAGATAAGATTCTATGCATTTTGAACATTTTCTGATATGCATTACCCGTCCGCACATATTATTCTGTGCATTTCCGCATCTTTTTTTGAATGTCTAAATCTAATTTTTTCTTTAATCAATGTAATAAATGTTTTGATGTCATCAAACTAGAAAAAAAAGAAGTTCGCAATAGCCAATGTACCTAATTTCTACTATACAAGATACTGATATAAGTATGATTAATCTGCATCATGTATATTATTATTGCATGTACAATATTGTAATGCTATTCACATCTGGAAATTCATAATGATTTTTTTCTTTTATCAAGATTCTCATACCTAAAGATAATCTAGATTACTTAAAATATGCTTTTTCATCGATTGGATATCTTTGATAACACAAATTATCAAAAACAATAATTCCGGCATTTATATGATAATAAATACTAAAAATTTTGTTTCATTTTTTACTCTTACTTATTTAAATCAACTTTTTTCAATAGTTAGAATTTACAAAACGTTTTCATCATAAAAAGCAACTTCAAGGTTGTTACAATTATTTTCTCCTATATATATGCTAACATTCGTAATCGTTCTGTGATTCATGAACTTCGGAAACGAAAATAATTTAAAAGAAAAAAAGAAGATATTTTACACACATAAACTCACACACATAACTCCTTTTTAGTATAGAACATATGTATATATACTCATGAAACACTAAACATCAAATAGAAAAATGTATGGCAATACTGTAGAGCAATCAAAGAGTACAGGGATGAAGAAAAGATGTATTTGTTGTTGTTGTTGCTGTTGTTGTTTCTTTTACAATAAACAATTAAAGTTCAGTTACTGGAATAGTAGACTGCAATCCAGATGACGCAGACGATGTTGTTGAATACGATGATATGGTTGATACTTCTCGAGTTGGATTTGTATTATAATATCGATAATGAATGGATGTAAGACTCTTACACCATGTCGTCGCATCTTGATCTGGATCAGTTAAATGATATGTTCGACCCGGCTAAACATAAGTATAAGGAAAATCATTAGTTTTATGAACAACTATAAATTACTCCGATCTAGAGATTTAACGGATCAGGCAAGACATTAGTTAAATATTATGATAGAAATCTTGGAAATACTGTGTTTCTCCTAGTTCTCGGCTAGGAATAACATTTCGGTACCCAAAAATGTCGAACTTTCTGTCAGTTTGGGACAATTTATGGTGAAATTCATTTGTCTTTTCTCAGTTATCACGTGTAGTATTTTAACAATAAAAGATTTCTTATTGATTTTCTTAGTTTTTAATACTCTTAAAAGGCAGCGACAGTTTTATTTACCGGTCCCCTGAATATGCGTCAAACAAGAATTCCACTAGCACTGTTTTTCCTCTCAGGATGATATTTTCTAGTTATATTTACCACTTGAATTAGAAATGTTTTCATATCTTTCTGTTCAATATGTAAATCTGCTGTCCTAAAAAGAGCAAAACAAAAAAAAAATAATAAAAATCGACAAAAACCAAGATGAATCAATTAGTTTACCATGAGATAGTTCCTTTTAACTCCATTGCATCTGGATCAACATAAAATATAGCAGGACCTTCAGTAACAAGAAACATACGCCGTCTAGCAAACAAGCCCTTTTAACAAAACAAAAATTACAGACTGCTTTTAATAAAATCATATTTACTTTTTTCTTATCTAAAACTCCTTGTTTAATAATTAGATTATTTTGGACAAATCTATGATAGATATTCTTCGTAGATTGCTCTGATAGCGATAGAGCATGATCAGGTAATTGTAATCTAAATAAATCCCAGTACAATGTTCTATATAAGTAAAATTTTGTGTGTTTTATTACCTTTTTGCTGTCACAGATGCATTATTATTATTATTATTATTAACGGAGTTATTTGAGGGCGGAGGATTGTACATGGACGAGTTTGTACTATGATTCGACGATGAATTTCGATTATCTGGTTTTTGCGATGATGAATTTTCGTCTGATATTGTAATATTCGATGATCCAGTAATCATTGCTGCTAACTCATGTGGTGCATCGGCTGCCATTCGTAAACCAATCAAACGAGCTTCAACACGGTCATCAAAACCGGATGACATTGTTTTAAGCTAAAATTAATAGAAATACTGTCTATTCAAGGTGAACAAATATCTCATATGATACAACTAAACATGAGTAGAATTAATATTATAAATTAACTGAAGCATGATTCTTATCGCCTTTCTTCTTTAAACGATAAAATAATTTTATTAAAAAACAATGTCAACCATTGCACATAATGCTCTGCGTATGTGTAAGAGATTGAATTTCCTTTACACAAGTCACAGGTTTATCTAATGAATAAGCGATGAAAAATAATACTCTCATACATAATATGACTCAACAGGATACACAATGATTATGCTATTGCGTTCGACTAGATAAGGAAGAGTTAGTGAGAAAAAGATATATAATTATAGAAAAGAAAACAAAAGATATAAATACAACAATAGACGTATTATGAAAACAATTTGAGCAATCTTTTATACATGTAAGTAGGAGTATTCTATAACTAATATGAAAAGAAAAGCTACATATAAATATTAAAGATATGTCTAAAGCTCAAATTTAATACGACGATGTTTTACTTATAGTACTAGTCAAACATATTTCAATCTATTCTGAATATTTGTCTGTCGTGTCAGGTATTTAACATAAATCCACACACTAATTTAAATAGTCAATGTAGTCAGGGGCGTAAGTCAGATCTCAGAGCAGGGGT